TTTCAGCTGCAGATCTGTTTTTATTCCAGTTTGTCTGCTGTATTGTCTTAAGGTGTTTGAAAAAAAAAATAAAAAAGAAACAAACCAGGAAAAAAAGCATGACACACTCCTTGGCATTTCCTGCTTTCTGGAAAGGAAAGCCAATAGCCAAAAAAAGCTAAAGGCAAAGTGTTGACCTATATTGCTTGCTCCAGTGTGGACTTGCCCTAAATATATCTGTAACCTGCAGTCCCTCACCAGTGTGCTTTCTCTGGGAGCTGTCTGTAGAAGGGGATGAGACAGTGGAACCTGTTGTGTTTCCATGGTGCTCTTCCCTGTTGTAGGGGGATCCCTCATGGAAGAGAATTAATCTCAGGACCATGGGAAAAGCCCCTTCCACAGCACATTTCCTGCCCAGCTTTGCTCCTGCACAGTGCTGAGCACAGAAATTGGCCTGGGCAGGCCTGTCCCTGTGAGGAGACAGGGATGCTTTAGTGCTGACATCAGCAGTGCTTTCCACGTCCTCCTCCACCTTCCACTGGCCATCCCTGGCTGGCTGTGGTCCCTGCCCTTCTGGAGGGGCTGTGGGATGAGTGACATCCTGAGACACTCAAGTATCTCAGCAAACACCTCATACAGCCTTTTTTTAAGTACTGAAAATCAAGTCTCTGAACACACAGCGTGTGCAGAACAAGTTGATGGGGAGGTCAGAGTGTTCCTCATGTTGCCAGCATTAAAAAAAAAAAAAAAATTAAAAATGGCTAGCTTGGTAGAACATAAATGCTTATCTTCTGAGTACATAAGCTTTTTAGAGAGATGTCCTGAAGTCTGGAAGAGGAAAAAAAAAGCAGTGTAGGAAGTAGTGTAGGCATGACACTATCCCACAGCAGTTTCTTTTCTTGCTAGGATGACTTCCGTCCGTCATGGAATAAATAGAGATGAGTGCTCCTTTGGCAGCAGCCCAGGTTGCTTCATTTGTTCTTCTGGGTGAACGTTTTTCTCTTCCCACACTCCTTTAACCTCTTCTCTCTGTTTTATTATCACTATCTCAACTCACTGCATGGAAATAGAGAAAGAATGCTAGCTGTAGATTCAATGGAAAGCTTTCTTTTGGCAAAAGCTAACTTTAAGGTAAACCATTCTCAATCTGGCAGTGATTAAGACAGCTGTGTTCTCGAGGTGCTCAAAAGCTGTAGCTCTTTTTTTTCTGTGGGCTGAAATTACTAAGTTTTAAGATAAAATAACTTTAAAATCATTGATGGAAAATTAAAAATGAAACTGCAGTGAAATGAAAATGAAGGCTTCAGCTTTGTTCTCAAGTTTCTTAAGGAGTTTTGGTAGACTTTCCAACTAGCAGTAAAATAGCAATCATCTATTCCATGCTTCTCACTATTCCATGCTGCTGCCACTGCAATTAAAGTTTAAAGATTGTGGTAATTGGAAGATGGATAAATCGAGATTGGTAAAACTTGTACCTGATAAACACCTGGATTGTTTTGAGCCCTTGTGTATTCAGAATTAACTTCTTAAATCTATTCTGATGCCAGAACATTTTGTGCCAAATAATCTTCCTGGTAGAGGGGACATGGTCACATAAAGAAGAGTCACTAAGCAGCATTTTTCTCTAAAGGTGATGAGCAAACAACATTTAATGCAGTGGTAAACCTTGACATTTAACATGAATGCAGTACATTGTTTGCCTCCTGCACTGTGATGCCTTGTGGCTTTATTTAGGGTTCCCCCCTTTATAAGGAAAGAAATACGTCTTGTATATCTCTTTTCTTGTGTTCTTATGTAGATGTTGTTGTCTCTTATGTAGATCTATTTTCTTTGTGACTTCATCTGTTGGATGGGATGAAATATCCCTCCCTTAAGTGCAGTTTCAGCAGCTAAAATTAGACTTGCAGGACCACTGTCCATAGATATATTTGGATAACCAACAGTGTGGATCACCCTTTGGAATTTGCAAGCTGAAAGTGGCTGTTTCATATGGGGGATTTTCATCCAGCAGACAAGGCTGTATATTGGTTTATTTGTTCCCCAGTAACACAGGGCAGGGTCTTGGAGGGCAGGGACTGATCAAACTAAAGGCTGATCTACATGTAAGTCCTTAGGAATGATACCAACACCGTGCCATGTGGAAGAGCTGACCAGCCCCTGGGTAGCTTTGTGGAGGATGTTTTTGCTGAGCTTTATGTTCCCCCTTTCTCTGCATGAGGCTCTGGATGTTTTCTGCCCATTTTTTGGCTTCATGCTCCCGTGCAGGTGGTAAGGACCACAAATCCTGGCCACCACACTGGAGCTGGGCAGGCTGTTAACATTGCAGCACCATCCCTGCACAACGCTTGCAGGTTCCATGGTGCCTCTCCAAGCTAGCAATGCTCCTGTGGTTGCTTCCCTGTGTATAGCTTTTATTTTGAAAGTGCTTGCTGTTACTATAGCTTCGTCTCCTGCCAGTCTGGGGATACCACTTAGATTTACTCTCATTTTCAGGGGCTGCTCTGTCTCCACTTCTGCCATTAGTGTCAGTGCAGTGGTAAAATGCTGTTCCTCCAAGTTGTCTCCATTTTCCTGTAAGGGCAGTTCATGCATCATTTGCTATAAAGGTTCTGATAGCTCAGCAAATGTTCGAAGACAAATTGATGCTCTTTTGTGGCAAAAGGCCCAGTGCATAATTTTACATTTACTTGGGATAATGTGGCCTTGGATAACCGAGTCCCAGATTTACTGGTGCAGGATAGAGTGTCTAAGGGTTTATCCAGCCTCAACCCCCTTTTTTTAAATACTGTCACTTAATCCTGACAAGCAAGCAGAGGAATATCTTTCGTTGTGACCAGGCTTTCACTGCCTGCCAGTTCCTGGGTCCTAAACTGACTCATCAGTCAGAAAGATTAATAACTGCTCTGCTGGATGATTTCACTTGTCATGGCACATATCCATTAATGGAAAACAAATATTCTCTGGAAAATGAAATGCAGATTGCAGTATAGTGGCCAGCCAAGTCCTTTTGGCCAGATGCAAATTTAAAGCATGTATTAAGTGTCCCTTCAAAGCAGGGACTTCAGGTTGCTTGATAGCTGGCAGTCTAATATCCATTTTTCCCTTTTTTTTTTTTTTATTTTTTTAAAGTATTTCCTTTTATTTCCTTTCAATGGGGGCGGTTCCCCTACATCTGGAGCTGCAGTGTGGATTTTTTGCTGATAAAAGAGTTGCTGGGAGGATGTTTTCAGCTGAGTTTGTCTTCCAGCAGTAATGCCTTTTAGCATGTGCAGGAGGGCTGAGGGTGTGAAGAAAGAAGTGCAGGCGAGCGGGGCAGGAAAGCTTTGCCTTACAGCAGCCTGACATGTTTAAAAAATAAAGAATACCCCTGAGGAGCTTTGGTATGCCAAATTAGTATGGAGTGCTCGTTCATGGCAAGGCTTCAGAAGTGGGGGAACGCGGGGCTCCGAGCACAGCTTCCCTCTCGGAGGCCTCTTTCTGCTCAGGAGCTCCAGCAGGGCTCACACCATCTGGAGAAAGCATGGGAAAGGGGGACTGGGCTTTTTCCCTTCCACCCCCACTCCTGGCTGGGAGAGATCCCAGAGTTCACTTTGCACAGCAGGGCTGAGTTTGTGCTCTGTAGTTTGGGAAAGCAGCACCTGGGAGCTGCCCCCATGCCAGGGCTCCGGGAGGGTTTGGAAAGCTGGGAAAGCCAAGAGTGAGGGGCTGCCTGGGGTGTCTGTGGTGCAGCACTGGGATGCAGCTGGTGAGCACCTCCCTATGTGTGCCTGATGTTCCTTGGCTGGCAAGGACCTTGTGTGGCTTGTTTGCCAGGATAACCACCCAGCAGGGAGTACCTATGGAGCAGGGCAGGGGAAAGAAAAGCCTACAAAGAACAAGTTCCTACCAGACCCTGTTAGAAACGGTCACCAGTTGTGAAAGTTCTTTAATCTCAGGATTCTTTGGTGTGTTCCTTTTGATCAGAAGGAAGTTATTGTTTCAGTCAGGAGGAAGCATATAAATGTTCTTTAAGGAATTTCTGCATGGGGAGGAAAAGAGATACTGGTTTGAAAACCCAAGCCTTTGTTCTAGGTTAGCTGATACAGATCTATGTCTGAATTCCCAATATTGGGGCGGCAGCAAGTGACTTGGACTCTTTCCAGATATTTAAATAATTTCTAGTAAATTGGCATTTGTCACCACTAGCAAGGATGTGTCAAAAACACCTTGTGGATAAAATTGCATCCTTTTGCTTGATTCATGCAGGTGGGAAAATGTGGCTAGATATGGTGTTGGAATTGTATTTTTTTTTAAATTTTATTTAACAAAATTGGTTTGCATTTTTGGATTCTAGGCAGGATTTTTCAAATAAAAATAAATTGGAAGGGAGTTAAACACAACATCCCTTTCCTCCCAGGAACATAACTAGAAATAGGTAGAATTCACACTAACTCAATTTGTGACTGCTTCAAGTGTGTCTATAGCATCCACGTTTGTTGTACCTACATATATGGATAGTATATGGAGGGGTTTAGCATTTATTCTAGGTCTACCTTGAACAGAAGCATTGCACAGAGATTAATTTTTAAAAAAAAACAATCTCATGCATGTATAATAAATTCCACCCCCTTTCAAACCCACTCATGCACTTGGATTTCTAATGAATAAGCCTGCATATTTATTCATGAAGATTAAAAAACTGTACAGATAGAGGCAGCTGGCTGAACTATTTTTAATTATTATTATTATTTTTGTTCTCTAAATCTGCTGACCTGTGATCAGTAGTAAAGAGGAAACCCTCTGATTAACTTAGGCTTTTGCAGACTGGGACAGGCAAAATGGCTCAGCTATTTACTGCTGAGGTACAGAACATGGATTTATTGAGTGGGTTGGAGAGAGGAGAGCAAATGAGACAAAAAAAACCCACCTCTTTGTAATTTAAAAATGTGCCAAACACACAGAATGACCTGCTGGCAAGGTATGCCTTGGTAGGTGTGTCCCTGGCTGCCCTGCCAGCTGTGACCCCACGTCTGTTCCTGCAGGCTCTGCTGCTGTTGGGTGGCATCGCTCTCTCCTGCCTGGCTCTGGACCTGCTCTTCCTCCTCTTCTACTCCTTCTGGCTGTGCTGCCGCCACCGCAAGAGCGAGGAGCACCTCAACGCTGACTGCTGCTGCACGGCCTGGTGTGTCATCATCGCCACCCTGGTGTGCAGGTACGGCCTCCCCGCTCTCCTGTCCCCAGCCTCGCTCTTCAGGCGATGCCCCAGGGTTTAGCTTTTGATTTTTCAGATTCTCTGCTGCTGTAGTGTGCAGTTCTGGGCTTCACATTAGGGCGTGGTGAGCTCTCTTCACAGAGTAGGAGATGTCGCTATAGCACGCGTGGAGGCACGACGCGAGCCGCTGCTATTGCAAAGGTGGAAAAGAGGAAGTTTATTTTCTGACTCCAGTATTTATACTTTTCCAAAGGTGATGGTGGATTGGAGGGTGAACGTGCCACTTCTCCAATGACATTGGACAAACTACTAGTACACCAAGTTTCTCCGCCTCTATGGAGGAATGTAAAACAATAGATGGTTCACAGAAAGTTGTGTGAGAAAGTTCTCTACAAGAATGTAAACTCAGAAGGCTTTAGAAAATTTTAAGAATCAGGGCAACAGGGAGACAAAACAATTCCTTCTCTAGCTGGGTACCAAGGACAAATGATCCAAATCTCAGGCCCAGGAGCATAAGCAACAGAAAAACAAGAAGGATGGGATTTTATAACCTAAAGCTATAATTGGACAATTAAACTCCAATATGCAAATGAAGCAGAACTTATAAAAGTGAGAGACCCCATGGCTGGTTGTCCATTTTGTGACCATTTTGGTTCATCTTGGGTGTAGCCCTGACTGGGCTCTTGTGCTGCCCAAGGTAGATCCATTGAGGCCTTTTAATATATCCCTACTTTATTCTTTAACTCAAGCTAGCCTCTGTTTTAGGTCAGCCTTCACAAGGCATCAAAATGCCCTGCCTCTACTTGGTGAATACTGGCAATAATCCCTCTTTCTTTCATTTGATGTATGTATGTTTTTAAATGTCTGTAAAGTATTTCCTTCCTTTCTACCGCTTGCAGGCCTGCCTGGTGGTTTGAGCAATGTGAAAAGGAATAGTTAATGTCCTGCTCTTTGATACTTTTCAAGTGATAAATCAAGGACCCTCCATCCTTGGGAGCTTATCACTTAAACAGGATGGATACAGTTGAAATATTTATCAGGTCTAAACGCAGATTTCTCAGAACCTGGTGTCCAGAAAGAATCACTATGTGTGGGAGAGTAGATTAGGAAGAAGGAGTCATAGATGATTCTTTTGGGTTTGGAAGGATTGGTGCTCGATTGGAGGGAATGTTCAGGTTTTGTAGCCTGTGTAAGACACTGCTGCATTTTGTTATCTGCACAAACTTGCCATTTGGGCTGCTAGTAATGGTGCCAGGGTCAGCAGTGTTTCATGTTGTGACTGAGCAATAGAAGATTTTGGAGGTGAGGTAGAAAGAAGGATTCCTGAAAACCAAGAAAAAAAAATCAGTAATTAGTAGAGAATGGGTGCAGGAGAATTTAAAAGGAGATAATTTCCTAGAGAGTGAATGATGGGGCATCTGAAAGCAGGGATGTGTTTGCAAATATGGAAGGAAGGAGCCTCTGATCTTGTTTTGGTTTGGGCAGAATGAGTCCTCTGGATGTGTGCCCTGTATCAAGCCCTTTCCAATTTGCTTTTCTTTCCAATTCCAAGCATCATCTATTCTTGGCCAAGACTCCAGGTGCTCTCAGCTGCCCCTCTGTGGGTGTGGCAGGTCTGGGAGCAGTCCCCAAGTCAGAGAGGAGGGAGCAATGAGGTGATTGTATTTGGCAGTGCCTGGTGGCTCACTTCTGGCCCCAGCCTGCTGGTAGGTGCTGGGTGTGCTGTGTGATCCCTCTGCAGGTGAGGTGTGCCTTGAGGGCTGGGCTCAGCTGCTCAGGAGCCAGACTGCTGCTGATGCATTTGTGTGTTTGCTCTTTTGGGGCACTCCTTAAGAGAGCAGCAAGGCCTTGGAGTGTTGGAACAAAGAGCAGAGCAGACATTCTGTGGGGAGTGCAGCAGCTGGGCGTGGATTTGCCTGCAGAAGCAGGGGCTGGGGGCTGAGGAGGAGACCTTGTGTGCCAGCCAGGGTGGCTGTGTCTGCAAGGAGCTCTTCCACGCTTTGCTGACTGCCAGCAGGTGCCTGGGGTGGAAAGACAAACCACAGAACAACTTGTAAAGAAGAAATCTCAGCCTTATTCACCTTTATTTTAGTGATCTTAAGAGCTTCAGCTGCATCCATTCCAATCCACTGAGAGAGCTGTGGTCCTAACCCTTTCTTACAGAAGCTCTGTGCTATTTATAGTTGTGCTGCTGCTACAGCCCCTTGTTAGCTATTGTTATGCAGCAAATGTGACCCGGGCAGCTGCTGCCTTGTGGTACTTGTGTTTGTTTTTGGTTGTGGAAAGGGTGAGAAGGAGGTATTCTGCACTTCTCCAGAGCATGTGTGAGATAATTTAACATTGGAAGGGCAGCATATAAATTCTGGTAAACTTGATGTGACTCTGTCAAATCCACAAGCTGGAGAGCTGCTTAGGCTTCCTCAAAATCTAAACCACTTGTTCTCATCCTTGGTGTACAATTTGTTTCTGCAAGTATTAAATGCAGAACCATAAAACTAAGGTTCATAACATAAGGTTCTATCTGAACCTACAGTGATATTGGATGATCATTTTTCTTGACATTTTAAATGAGTTATTTAATTTCCTCTCTGAAATCAGCATGCTTGAGCAAGAGCAGGTTGGTACCACCATGGGGAAGAAGGTGCTGTCCAAGAGCTGCTGCTCTCCTGGAAGGCTGAGGTTGGTTTTCTGCCTCTCTGCAGCAGCTGGATGCCTCAGTGCCCTCAAAGCAGTGTCTCTTGGCACTCTGTGATCAGTCTGTGCCTGGGAATGCAGATGCAGCTCCCAACAAGCAGACTCCAGCTGTTGGTATCTACCTGGGACTTCCTGCTAGCACTGATTAAAGATTAGCCCACTGGATATACCCTGCCCTGTCCCAGCTGTGTGTCACACATCCAGAAGAGCCAGACCAGCTGTGCTAATGGGGTATGAGGCCATTCTGACCCTCTGCCTGACAGCAGCCTGCCCTGGGAGGCAGCTCTGTGGCTCTGAGTGCTGAAGCAAGAGGTTCCAAAAACAGCAGGTTTGGTCTGTCTGAGCATGTGGAAAGGGACTATTGTCTTCCTAGCTGAGAATGCTCAGCTCTGGTGAAGTCCAGCTGTGCCTAGAGCATGGTTCTCTAGGTTCCCTCAGTCCCAGGGGGCTGTTTGTGCAGTGAGTGCTGCTGTGTGCTTGGCTGTTTCCTAATGGCCCACAGCAGAGAGAATGCTGAGCCAGCAGAGGCAGAGCTGGTTAACAGCAGCTCTCCAACAAAATGTCTCTAATGAGCCTTCCCAGTTGCTCTAGCCACAAAGCTGCAGGAATGCTTAGCCTAGATTTTTCCATTAATGCTTCAGTTCTAGTCCTTGCCAATTTTTATTGGTTTCTGTCTATGAGGACTTGTCCTATAAACCATTTCACCCACTGGTTAGGTGACCCTAATTCTCCCAGAAGATACATCAGCTCTAAAAGGGGGGAGAAAGCTTTGTGGAGAGGGCATCAGAAAGAAACGAGTGCAAATAAATGGTAAAAAACTTGTATTATCAAGTGCCAGTAATAGCACTTTCCCCTGGTGTGAAAGTGCAAGGTGGTAATTAGGCAGACAAATTAACATTCCTCATGAGAACCTGAAGTCTAAAAAGGGCTCTTCTTATGAAGTTCCTGTAATTAAAGATGACTTGGTGTAGTTAGATTATTCATTTCTAAGGATGTGATGTGAATGGCTAGTGCTCATCTTTCCAGACTGGTGTCTGGGTACCCAGAGGGTCACAGTATGTGTGTGGGTATGACAGCAGGAGGATCTCATCACTAGAAAGCACACAGATCCTCTCTGTGTCAGATTAATGCTCTGATGTTCATCCCTTCTCAATGCAGAAGACATTTTTTTTGTTTTTTGCAGGTCATGTTGCAAGCAAATTCAAAGTTACACTATCTTTTTTTCCTGGTTCTTTACCGAAGTGCACGTGATTCTTGCACACAAACAATAGGAAAGCTGCTCTCCAGACTTGAATTTCTTAAGTCTTGCTGAAAAGTGATACTGAAGTGTGTGTACAACCTGCAGGAGTTTAGATCATGTTGTTGTATCTGTAGAAAAATACAGAAATCCTGGTGTGCACCTCTTCCATCTCACTTATACAACTCTTTAAAGAGCTTCTGGAGTTCTGTGTCCCCAGTGGGTGTGCACTGCTGCTCAAAGTTCAATGTTTCCCTGACTTAAATAAGTGGGTTTCTTAAAACTTACCAAAACTATTGAGTAGCTAAATAGCTTTTTAAGTGCAGTGTTGAATAGCAGGAGCATCTTTTTAAATGGCCTATAAGACTGTGATTCATTGATTTTATTTTTTTTAAAGATTTTATTCAAAAATATGAGTGAGAGGGAAAGTAGAAGAGAGGTGGTGGTACTGAAAGTGATAAGAGACTGACAAAAGGTAGGTTTGGGAGGAGGAATTCAGGATGGGACAGTGTGGATTTGGGAGGAGAGAGGAGGGGTGTGTGCACTCCAAGGGGAGTGCAGCAGAAGCAAGACTGGCAGAAATAGAAATGACTTTCCTATAGAAGCATTGAAAATGTGTTGGAGTATTTTCCAGGGGGTGCTAGGGTAGAAAAGAGCAGTGTCATTCAGGAATGCTGTCCTTGTATCCAGGCTGTGTGGTGATGATTTTGCCATCCTGTGCTGGGAGATGGATCTGCTGTATCTTGGCTACTGTGCCTCCTGGGGTTCGTGCGAGAAGCCTTGTGATTTATCATGACCTCAAGGACTTATGCTGTTGGGTTAAGATGAGTTATCTATTTTTATTTTAAAAGAATGCTCTTAAATAGAAGGAGCCCCTCTGTTTGCCTTTAATCATATAAAAGGTAGTTAAAAACTAGTGTAAATCCTTAAATCTGCTTTAAACAATAGCAACTCATATCAGTGTGTGTGGGCAGGGATTTGAAGCAACTATTGGATTTAGATGAAGCCAAATGCAAACAAAGCGCAGCAGCAGCAGTTCCCCCCTGGCTGCCCTTCAGCTCTGCCCTCTCCTCAGGCACAGCTGCCCCCAGCCTGGGCTTGTGGGATGGATTCCATCCCTCTCTGCCCTGATAGAAAGGGAAAAAGCCACAAAACTGCATGGCTTGCTCCTAGGGGAAGGACTGGCTGTGTAAGTGGCCCTTGCTAGCTCAGGGTGGGAACACAGAGCTGGCTTTTGCAGGGCAAGAATGGAATAATCAACACTTTATGTGTAATTTGCAGTGAATGTGTGAGTCTCATGTCTAGAGGAGTTTATTACTTGGATTAAATGGCCTTTATCCCAGTCGCTGTGCTGTAGGGCTTTCTTTCAGAAGTAGTGGCTGTGCCTGGAGGGCCAGAGCAGTGGGAGCTGTGGTTTTTACTGGGCAGGATGGGAAAACTGCCAGGGTAGATCTGCCTCCAACAGGGCAACGAGTTTAAAGTCACTTGTTTGTATTGCCAGCACTTCATAGCTAGTACCTGTGAGTAAACTGGCTGGTCTGTGCAGCATCCCCAAGGATAAGGTGTCTGCTGCTATTTCAGAGTGCTATTTCTGAGTCTTTCCCACCAAAATTGTGCTACTGTGCTGAGAATACTGAGAGCCAAGCAGCAGATTTTGGGCACTTACCAAGTCTTTGAAAGAATAGGCTTCTAGTAGCTGTAAACAGGCTGAATAGAAATTGCTCGCTAATTAAAGGGGTCAGATCTGCCTATTCAATGTCCAGAATGTTCTGGAATTTATTTGGTGCCTATGGCAGAAACAACTGCTAACGTTTTCTGCAGCTCAGGAGGCTGAAAGGGTCTGTGTGAATTTCTTTGCTCTGATAAGACAAGGAGAAATTCAAGCCATGGTTTTGTAATTTCTGTGATGGGGTGCTGAGTTGCCTTATCCTGGGCATAGCCCTGCATCTGTAATCTCTGCTTCAGGGGGAGGGGGGGAGTGTGTCTTTTTTATCCCTTCCACCCCCGTGCACCCAAGGCATGTGTTATCAAGCTCTGATAATAGCTGCAACCAGAGGAATGCAGAGGGCTTTTCTCTCTTTAGTTATCAGCATAATTTCCATTAGGAAAAGGTTTGAGGAATGGTGTTCCTGAAGAAAGAGGCCCATTTCTCTTATTAATGCTAAATATTTAGTTACCTAGCTGCTGCCTCTCTTTCTGAAGAGAAGGCTGCCTCTTGTCCCTAGAAGACTCCTCAGCTGAGGTTTTTATGGGCCAAGCTCTCTATAATTTATGGAGATTCAATTGCTGGAAAAAGCATGAGGCTGACACAGATTTTCCTAGTGGATCTGCTTCCAGATCATGATCTTTGCTTCTATTTCTTGTCACGTACGAGGAGAAATGTGACCAGGTGAACTGCATTGTTCTGCTCACTCTTTGGAAGCAGAACCCAGGAAAGGAGGAATGGATGTGTCTTCCTGCAGGAGAGGAGCAAGAGCAGGAACAGCACACAAAGGTGTTGTGAAGGAAAGAAATGTTTCATCCAGAATAAATTTAGATTTACAACAGGATCACCACCACCTCCTTCCTTTGCACTGCCACAAATGCAACCTTGGTGTCTTGAGAACCTTCCTAGAAAAGGTCCTGGGTGCTCTCAAGCTAAATATAACATGGGAACAGAAAACTGTGTCTTGGTAAGGTTTGTTTGAGTTTAGTTGTGTGATCCTTTCACAAGTTCTTTCCTCCTCTATTATTAGGAAATATGGGCTTGGGCAGAGGAACTGCGAGTTCCTGCAGTGATCATTTCATAGAAGTGGTATTGCTGACTTGCATGGGATAATCCTCTGTTTGCAACTCATTTACAGGATCTTCCTCCTTTAAGTGAGGCTTAAGCTAATATGGTTTACTTCATAATTGGGGCAGACTGATATGTGTGGACAATTATAGAAATCAGCTGATAGGTGGTAATTTGCTAAGCAGCTGGAGTTGAATTGTGTCTGCAAGCTTGAAATTTGCTTGCTTTAAAAATAAATAAGCCTTTTGTCCCAGTAAGTTATTATGTTTCCCTTCCCAGTACTCTAAATCAGTGTGACACAAATGTTTCTAATGGGAAGATAAATCAAGATAATGTTCATAGATATTTCACAGGGTAGAGAAGAGGACATGGAAAATCTGTCTGGAGGAACCACCACCATGGGCAAACAGTCAAAGCAAGCTCTTTGTGTCCTGCTTTTAAAAAAATGTAACAAAATTTCATGTCCAGAGAAGGCATCTAGCGCAGCAATGGCAGGAACCACTGGCTGGATTTCTGGCTCTGAGCTCCCAAACAGTTCTCTAACAGATTTTCATTATTTTACCATAGATGAAATATGCTTGTTGTGTTCTGCTCTTGGCCCTGGGGTTGCTCTTGGAGAGCTGCTGGCTGTGCATGTTCACGGGTGCAAACAGAGCAGCAGCACGACCCCAGCTCTCTTCGGGAGGGAGCGCCTTCCCTTTGTGTGGAAAGTGCTGGTGTGCTCCCCAGTGCTCTGCAGCCACCAGCCCTGTGTTCCCACTTGCCTTTTAGCTTTACCTCTTGCCCTTTGCTGCTTTTCTTCCTCCACAGTGCTGGAATTGCTGTGGGCTTCTACGGGAATGGGGAGACCAGCGACGGCATCCACCGGCTGACGTACTCGCTGCGCCACGCCAACCGCACCGTGGCCGGCGTGCAGGACCGGGTGAGCACCCCAAAAACGGGGCACGAGCAGCCTCACTCAGCACCTCTCCTCCTGTGCCTGCCTCTCTTCCTGTTTTCTCTTCAGATCCGTGCTAAAATTTCCATCAGTGGCAGGGTGATTTCTTCCGCTCGTCTAAAAATAACAAAGCGAACGCAGCTTGTTAAGTGAAGTCTTCCCTTTGCTAGGTTTAAAAACAGCTTGTGATCAGCTCTTTCTTCCACACCCAGAACAGGAGGAAGGCCAAAGCAGACAAATCTTAGTAAAATGTAGCATTTGAGTACCATTGGTTGTTCCTGTGCTATCTCTAATTTCATGGTGTTGTACTGCAACCCTGATGTTTGCAACACTGCAAAATGTGTGCACGTGTTAAGGCTCAGCTGAGGTGCCATCACTGCAAACAATCCCCCTTATAGATGCTTTTAAGTTGCTTTTGAGGGGTAAGCAGTCTGAGCCTCTTAAGACAGAAGACTGGTAATCTGGAAGCTGTCCATGACTTGCTAGGGAGAATGAATTCCCTTTTACTTTCTTGGCTTTCCTGTACTTTAATTATTTTTTTTTTAATTTGTTTATCCCCCCCTTTTTTTTTTTTTTTTCTTTCCCATACTGTAGGTACTGGACACTGCAGTGTCCCTGAACCAAACAGTGGAACCAAACTTGCTGGTCCTGGAGGAGATGTTCAGGAAGCAGACAGATTACCTGCAAATTGTCCAGAAACTGCAAAGTCTCCTGGATGATCTGGTCAGGCAAACAACTGAGATTCCCTTCTGGAAGAATGACGAGCTGTCTCTGGAGGAGCTGGCAATTCAGATTGACCTCTATGACTGGTACAGGTGTGTAGCAAGCTGTAGTGTAGTGGTTGTAACATCTGCTTTGGCCTGTTTCACAAAAATTATGTGCATGTTCTGGGTGGCTGAGCCAAAGGCTCTGTTTATTGCTGCAGGTGCTCTTGGCCCACAGAGCTCTTTTGTTTCTTCCAGCAGGACTGCATTCAGTTTAAATCAAAATGCACAGCTTGTTTTCCTTAAGTATCTTTATTACCAACTGATGAGAAATTTATTCTCAACATAAAAAATCTCTAGTTTGTGTTCTAGCACTGGGGAAAAAAAAAAAACAGCCTCAGGTATAGCTTCTGCTCTGTCCTAATAAGTGCATAAAGAATACATTAAATAGAGTAGAAAATTGCACTAGTTCTGTAAGTTAGGACCACAGCCTAACATTCCTTTTTATTAAGCATATTAAATAAGATATTGCATCAATTGTATTCCACAAAAGAAAATCTCTATCCAAACATGTGGAATGAATAACTGAAGTATTTCCTAACAAATATCTAGGAAGTTCAAGAAGCTGCAATGCCTTTTCTCCCTCTGATGATGACCAGTGCATATAACACCACACTAGTAAACACTAGCAGTCTTATTTCTCAACAACTGTTTGTGCTGAGTGTGTTGTGTCAATGCTTGTACCTGCCTCAACTTCCAAAGCCACAAATACCCAGACCTCTCTGAAGATTAATATTTGGAGGTGGTTTTGGGGAAGAGAAGGACTCTGCTTTCCCCAGAAGTCACAACAGCTTCTCAATCTCTGCGTTTTGCACACCAGTTTTCCTTTGCAGACTGTGTTTTTGTTTCCTGCAGGTGGCTGGGATACCTGGGCCTGCTCCTGTTCAATGTCCTGATATGTTTGCTGGTGCTCTTTGGGCTCATTAGAAACTCCAGGGCCATTCTTATGGGGTAAGTCTTGATCTGGGGACGGGGCATAAGGAAAGTCAGCTGAATGCAAGTGCCTGCTAGTGGGAACCTCTACCTGTTGTCAGATAATATCAGGGACATCTGAAACGGAACATCTTGCATTTCCTCTGAGAAGAGAGACATTGTAGAGTGTAGCTCTGTGGAAATAGGGCTTCACACAAGAGATGTTTACAGGAAGGTTCTTGAGCTATAAAATCAAAGGTGAGGACCTCATCCAAGCTGTCTGCTTTCCACTGGGTGGCCTTGGAAGCCTCCATTTGCTGGGAGATAATAGTGTGAACATCCTTCCTTAAAATTACAGGCTTTAAAAATCTCCACTTAATTCTCTGCAGTTGGGAAGGCATTTGTTAATTGATGATAAGCATTGCACAACCTGCAGCATTGCCTTCTGTGTCACTGTCTGCTCTTGTGACCTGGGGCTGTCACACCTGAGGAAGCCTTAAACTGAGAACTGCCATGGTTTGCAGTTATGAGAAGGAGTCTTGTTGCCATGGTACTGCAATGTTAATGCATGTGTGTTTCTCAAAAGCACTGAAAATGCCCCATTACAGGAAAAAAACTCTTCCTCTCCTTATTTTGTAGCTTGGCATATTTGGCAAAGATCCTGGTATCATCAACACAGTGACAGTTTGATAACTGACATGGCCAAGGGTTTATCCTGGTCTGTGGTGGTGCCATTAATAATTGGAATGTGTATCCAGATTTATTATTTACCAGATGATTTCATACCTGGCAGGTTATACAGACAAAACTCCAAGTGTATGCACAGATGGCAGAACCAGGGTTTAAATTAGAATCTCATTCCCCGTTAGCCAGAAGTTCATATTAAGGCATTCCCTAAAGGGAGCACATGGCATAAAGAAACAAGTGTACCACAGCCAGGCAAGATGGTGAAATGCCAGTTTTAGATCTTTTAGCCAAGCAATCAGTTACTGACCCAGTCATCTTCATTTAAAGTAAAATAACAAATGTGTCTTATTGATTAACATGCTCAGCTGGAGGCACCAAGCTGTGTTGTCCTTATGCCATAAACCCACAGACCCTTGCTGATCCATGGCTGATGATTTTTGCATCCATTTGGAAAAGGCATAACAAAGTCTTTAGTGTCTCATTTCAGAGAGCAGTGCAGATGTCAGTCTGGTGAAACTCCCTTACTTCTGCAAGATGACGCATAGATCCATTCACAGAATAGGGATTATTTGGAATTAAAATAAATTAGTAAACTGAAGGATAGGTGTTTTTTCTTTTTTATTGGAGACCCATAGGTTTACTTTTTTAAAGCCCTAGTATTCAGTGAGACAAATGAAGCAGAAAAAAGATGTCCCTTTCTCAAAGAGATGGTTGTACTAGATATGAATAAAGAAAGTCTTGGTTTTTGTATTGTTTAGGGTGTGGGTGGGAAGGGATCTACTTATGTTTCAAAGCTTGAAGGGAAAGAGCATCCCTAAGAGAGCAAGGCAGTGTCTCTTTACTTTGAAGATAGAAACAGATAAAATGAAACTGCTTATTAGTCTGCAGCCCTGTACCTGCGGGACTTGAGGAGCATTATAGCCTAAATATCTCTACCACTCATACTGACAGCAAGGGTGAAGAGCTAATGTGCTGGTTGGGAAGTGAAAAAGCCTTTTCCATGAGTGTGTGCTCCTAAATATCATTGAGAGCACTGCTGTGCCATCCCTCTGCCTTGTGTCTGCTTGACAGCAGACACATCCCATGATTTCTGTCAGTAATGAGGTCCAGCCTCAGAGCAGAACTTGAAATCTGCAGAGATGGACTCGCATGGCAGTGGTAGGCACCTGAACTGCAGTTCCAAGCTGTTTGCCTGCAGGTGACTTTCTGTCCTGGAGCTATGTGGGATGCTTGGGTGCTGTTCAGGTGCACCAGCTTGGAGCCAAGGTGTCCTAGCAGGGGCTGTGTTCCCTCCCACCATCTGTAGCCATGTATTGCTTGTACCAAACAACCTCATTTATTGTAGACACAGGAGAGATTTCTCCAGTTTTGCATCAGTATGGTTTTGTGGGGTTTTCTTTATTTAGCCTATTTTTCTTTGGGTATCTTTGGACCCGGAAAATGAAGTTTAGAATGGGAACAGTGAAAGGGATGGGATTGTAGTCAACCTCCTGCCAGTCTGCCTCCCCTACAGCCACCTCTGTGTCTTTGTGTCTTTGGTTTCACTGCTAGAAATAGGACAATACTTTGCTTCCCTACTTCTCCCTTCTGCTGCAGCTCACGGGCAAGTAATGCAGTAACCAAGAGCTGGATATGAACTCTGGATATGCTCTGGTTGCTGCTGTCCATGACATCTGAAATAGGATTGTTTATCTGAACATACAGTCAGAGGTTGATAATTTCTTGGGTTTGGTAATTGCTTTGGACTCCAAATAATACATCTTGTGAAAGGAACTGCTTGAAATCAGAGGTGCTACATCTGCCATCTGTCTGTCCTCCCACAGGGTGTGCTTGCTTGGGGTGTTTGCCCTGATTGTCAGCTGGGGATCCCTGGGCCTGGAGCTGGCTGTCGCTGTGGTAAGTGGCTCACATCCAAATCCCATTCACCCTGTGCTGCAGGTTTAGCAGACACCAGATTAATGTTGTGCTGTGCCTGTTTCACAGCATAGCCTGAGCTAAGTAACTGTCCTAGCAATTTCCATCTGGGAGAAGCCCAGAGCTGCTCCTTGTCTGTGGTGTGGTAGCTCAGAGTCCAGCTCTGCTGGTTGTGTAGAGCAGTGCTGCTGAGAGACCTCAGCATCTGAAACACCCCTAGAACAGAAGGTTCCCTGATGTTAACCTGGCTCAACTGCTCTTTGATGCTGGTGTGCTTTGATACTCCTTTTGCCTTTTGTCTTCCATCTGTCCAGGGCTCCAGTGACTTCTGTATCGACCCTGATGCTTACGTCTCCAAAGTGGTTGAAGAGAATGCAGTGCTCAGTCCTGGTGAGTGCTGGGGCTGGCTCTGCCATGGAATTCTGCAGCTGTCACACAGGAGCATGGCAGTGACTGAGAATTTGAGGCTGTGTTTGAAACAGAGGAGCTGGCATACAGTGGGAAACAAAATTTGTGGAAAAACAGCATTCTGGTCAGAAGTGTACATGTATGCATCAGAACCACCTTCAGAACCTTTCTCCTGCCTTGACCCTTAGGTGGAAATAACTGATAAGATGGACTAACAGAAGTCCCCAGATTATTGGATTATTTTACTTTAAATGTAACACTCTTGAGGCTTGTTCTCCTCTCTAAGTGACAGAACTGTGGCAGTAGCAGTGTGCACTTTGAGTTGACATTTTTAAAACTTGCTCTTGTGTCTGTATTCCTGAATCTAGCATGCCTATTTTTCTATCTGTTATCAACAGTTTATATATAATTTTTTTCTCTTAATGATGGCTGTAAATAGTAGCCTCTTTGAAGGGTAAGTGAATAGGAACAGCCACAAAGAAGTATGAATTTCCCTTTCCATTATAAATGCAGTATTTTGACCGCTTTGTGCATCCTGTTCCATTTGAAGCATGTGCCTGCACCTCAGTGGCTTCCAGCTGAACCACTGATGTATTTGGGGCTTGTTGCTCCTAATTCAGACTGAAGTGGTTGGTGAGGTGAGAGGTGCCTCCAATTTGCACTTCAGTGGGGCAAAGATGGCATTCAGAACCATGGCTTAACAAAAAGGTGATTGGGTGCCTGGCAGGAGAGATACAGTAAGTGCTGAAAAAGAAAAGTATTTTTAGGAGTGAGTTTGCTGCTTAGTTTACAAAGTTAACTTTTTTTCCCCTGCCTTCTCTCCCCCAGCAGTTCCTTTATGTAGTTCTGTGTGTGGCAAAACACAAATAGGCAATGACACTGATTTGTAAAAGGATGACTTGTGGTTTTTCTGGTTCTTATTTGGTGGAACCAGAGAACTTTTGCTGTGTGTGCAGAAGGCTGTGCTTAGCCAAATGCTGTCTCTCAATGTGTAGCTGGTAGGAAGTTAGGTATGTAGGTATGGCTGAGGATGCAGGGATTGGAAACAGTGAAAAACCTCAATGTCTGGAGGCAGAATGTAGTATAAAAGAATGTGTACAGGTTGATCTTGCAACCCTGCATCTTATTTTTGGAGATGATAGAGCCAGGCAGAGCTCTTGGCAACAAAGAAATGTAGTGAGTGAAGAGAATGAGTGTTTAGCATAAGATGAAAATCCTCTTTTGGCTGTGAAGGTGACAAGGATGTGGCTTCAGGTGCCTAGCTGGTTTCCTGCCTCTTCAAGGAGGCAAGTAGGTCAGTGAGGCCAAGGGGAAATATGTGATGCTACTGCCAGCTGTGTGCTGTGATAATTTGGTAACCCAAATTAGCTCTGGAGTGTGTTTGGTAACAATTAGATTGACCCTGGGGAACCAAAGAGAGGCCCTTTTGTGCTGTTTCCCCATTTCAGCTGTCCTTGTCTGCTGGGCTCCTGTGGTTTTCCATTGATCAGTAGCAATGTTCATTTGGAGGCTCACAGGCAGTGCAGGGCTGGCATTCCATCCCTCCTCCCACATTCCCCAGCAGGGACAGTTGGCTCCCCAGGGGGAAAACAGGCTCTGCTCCTGCAGCAGCACCAGGGAACAGTTGTTAAAGCTCCATAAATAACAGTGAAGGGGTCTGAGGGAAACAGTGAAGAGGAGGAAGAGCAGGTGCTGCCACAGGCCTGGGTTGGAAGGGTGGCCCCTCCATGGGTGCTGAGTGTGTCAGTGATGCCTCAGGCTTTAGCTTTTATATTTTTCAGATTCTGTGCTGCTTTAGTGTGCAGTTCTGAGCTTCATATTAGGGGATGGTGAGCTCTCTTCACAGAGTAGGGAGACAGAAGAATTCCTGCTCTACCTGGGGATGAAGGACAAATGATCCAAATCTCAGGCCCAAGAGCACAAACAACATGGACTGAAGAGAAAAACAAGAAGGATGGGACTTGATAAGCTAAAGCTATAACTGGACCATGAACTCCAATATGCAAATGGAACAGAGCTTATAAAAGTGAGAGACCCCATGAGTGATCATGCATTTTGTGACCATTTTGGTTCATTTTAGGTGTAGCCCTGGCTGGGCTCTTGTGCTGCCCAAGGTGGATCCATTGAGGCCTTTTAATAAATCCCTACTTTATTCTTTAACTCCATCTAGCCTCTGTTCTAGGTCACCCTTCACAAGGCATCATCGGCTCTTGCTGCCAGCAGCATTGGTGAGCACCTTTTCCTTCCTCCAGAAGGAAATCTGTCCAGTTTCTGAGCCTGCCATTGCACCAGGCAGCTGCCTGGGAGATGATTGAATCTCCTCTCTTCCCCTGTGGGTTTTCACTGCTCTGTCATAGTTACGGAAATAGCTCTTGGTCCCCAATGCTGAGATCTTCCCGTGCATCCGAGCAGGAAGAAAAATGATGACATGAGGACTACAGTGTGGTAATTACACTTTTATCCTAATAAAACCTCTTTAAAATGTCTGGAATAAGTGTTGGCATCCCTTGGCTGCAGATTGTAGCATCTGCTTTGTGATTAGCTGAGCCATATGTAGGAGAGTGAGGAGCTCCAGGAGACAGGGACAGGCTGGAGCAGCATTGATGCTGTCCTCTCAGAGGGGGTGACCCTGTTTGAAAACCCCTGGTTCTGGTGCTCTGTGCTCTCTGGTTTGCTGTCTCTGCTTTTTGGATGATGTTCTCCTACTTTAACAGCAGTACAGACATAATAAAAGAGAGTGTGGGTGTCTGGAGGGGCTCAGGCAGATCATGGAGGAAGAATCCATGGGGAGTTATCACAGATGTAGGAATCACATTTGCTGTGAGAATCACTTCAGCTGAAGCTGGCCTGACTGAGTCATCAATATTTGCAATGTGTTTTTTTTCTGGTAGTTTTCACAGAAAAATAACTGAGTTGAATACTGGGCAACTAGTATGTTAATATTCTTGTTTATGTATTAATTGCTGTTTTCAAACCTAAATGGAATTAATGGAGCTGAGAGTAATCTGATTAAGTGCATTATTACTGTCATGTTTTTAGCTAGAGAAGTTCTTGTTTTGCAGATAAAATGTGGTGCATTAAAAAAAATATGGGGAAAAAGGGAGGCAAAGAACTTTAATGCAGGTTTCTGGGAGAAGCAAATACTTAAATAATTTTGCAGAAGAGGCTAATGTATATGCCTAACTCACCCTTTATTCATTAACTGAGGTAAAGCCAATGGAATTGAACAGTGCCTGTATAATCAACTCCTGCTGCTAGTGAAAAATTTGGTGCACCCAAGATGTTTATTTTCAAAGCAGGAGGCCATCTTCTAGTCCCATTCTTTTTCACTGATATTATGTTATTATCAGATGACTTGTTGCATAAAATTAAATAAAAAGACACAATCTGTCTAAACAGCAGGAAAAGATTTCTCCAGATTCTCTTCCCAGAAATCTGCATGGTGAACAGGCACTCTCTTCATCTGAGGGAGCTGTGAACCTCGGGGGATGGATAATGGAGCCTTTTAGCTGCGATCCAGCCCAGCTGGCCAGGCTGGATGCTGAGGCTGAGCTGCTCAGATATGAGCAGGAAGGGTTCTTGTTGTGCCCAGCCTCCCAATTGGCCTCCCACTGATGCAATCTCAGAAGTCCAGAGCTGAACCAACCAAAGGACTGACACCACCAGCACCTCTGCTTCCTCTCTAGAAGTAAGATGAGGACAAAGCCTCAGGTGGGGCAGTGGTGCCTGCACAGTTATTACCTGAGCTCAGAGTACACTGCAGGAAAGAGTTTGCCCAAAGAAATCCTCTTGAGAATCCTGCTGAGCTGATGTTGGCATTGAGAAGCTGTTTTCCTGCCTGGTGTTGTTGGACTCCTGATTAGCAGAAAGCTTTGAGTGGAGGGCAAATGGGACAGTTACAAGCTCTTTGCTTTTACAAGAATAGGATGTATCAGAGAAATTAAATATTATGCAGAATAAATATGCAAATATTATGCACCTCTCTTTGCTGTCAGACTGGTGCCTTGGGGAAACAAACTTCCTGGTGGAGAGCCATACCTGGGCAAGAAACTCCAGCCAAAAGAGCTGCCTTCCTTTGACACCACAGGTGCTTTCTCTGATGATTGAACCCTCAGAGACAGCCTCATCTGGGTGTATAGGTAAAATGAACACTGCTAAGAGAATGTTCAATTAGAGATGAAGAAGAGCTGGGAAAAGCTGATCTAGGTGTGAGGATTTTTTTTGGAGGTAGGATCTTTTTTTCTCATTGCTCTCTACAGACCTCACTGCCTTTTGGCAGGTGCATAATACCATTTTTGCATTTTGGCTGGGCTTTGAAGTGAGTAGTAGGTCTCCATGGTTGCAGAAGCAGTAAGTGGTTCTAGCAGCTGAAGCTGTCTTTAGTAGGAAGCTCTTCTTTCCTTTCTAGGAAAAACAGATTTTGCAAAAATAAAGCATTTTAGGTGGTTCCCTTCCTTGCCTTCTTCTCCCACAATGCCTGTGCACCAGCAGTGAGTCAGGAGGATTGCTGCTAGCAACAGCAGGCAAGGGCAGCTACAGATGTGACCCTGCCTAACCCTTCTGCTATGAGCTAGATTGCCTAAAGGCCAGCTTCAAAACTCAGATCACCCTTTAGGAATTTTCCTTGAGAGGAAAATGCACCAGAAAGATAATTATAGAAAGAAATTGCCTGGGGCTGTTAGCAAAGTGCAAAGGATGGATTAGTGTAGCTGCTTTCTGGTGGAAATATGAGATTTGCTGATGTACAGGATGGCCTCCACCAGATTTAAAACAGGTGAGGGTTCCTCCTGCTCCTTCCTCTTTTCCTGGTGGCATGGAGGCAGGGGACATGGTCCTCTTAATTTCCAGGCTGTGCAGTACAGGATCACCTGAAGGCAGCTTCTCTGCCTGTTGTAGCCATAGATTTAAAGCTCCACAGCTCAGGTTCAGTGCAGGGCAAAGCTGCTCCTGATGGCTGTGCCATTTTGGGAAGCATGTTTTATGTAGAGTGTCACACTTGTCAGCAGCAAAGCCAGTGCTACCACAGTGAATCCTTGTTGATCCTGCCTGCCAGGGTGAAGCAAGGCAAGCATTTATTTCACTGTACTGCTTTTTGCTTCACTTGTAACCAGCAATCTTTATCCTGAGCTTACAAGCTGCAAACTATGGTATCAGGAGCTCTCATCTCTCATCTGCCCACCAGGGACAATCCAGAAGGCCCTCAAGAAACATTTCTAGAGCTCTGCATTAGCAGTAAGTCATGCAACTTATTGCACTTAAAAAGACGACATAAACTCGATTCCACTGTGGGAGCTTAGGAGAAACTTGTAGCGGTTTGTTGGTTTAAAATAAACAGGTGACAAGATCACAGCTCCTTTGGGGGTCACCATGTGTGATGCTGTGGGTTGCTGTTGCTGTTCTCTCAGTGCAGGTGTGTTTTAATCCATTTTCACACAGCCATTGTGTGTGATTGATGAGCCAGGGAGGAGCAGCCCTTTCCTTGGCTCAGTGCTTGTGGACAGTCACTGCTGTGGTCTGCCCAAAGTGAGGCACAAAGCAGCTCCTGCTGCCCTCCTGTCTGCCCAGAATTTGCTAATTGCTGTTTAGAGGCTTGGCTGGGGAGGTGTAAGTTGTCCCAGAGAAAGGGTCGGTGGGGGGAGATGGAGCAGCTGGCAGGAGCTGCCCCAGAGCAGGCTAATGAATTATAAATAACAGCTGTCAGCCTGCATTGCCAGCACACAGGGGCTGACAGGCTGTGCTGTAGCACTCGGTCTCCAGCGTGCTGCCTTGCCAAAAGGTGCATTCAATATTTATGGGAAGCGTGGCAGAGTCAGGATGCAGGCAGGTCTGCTTCCTTCACAGCTCTGCTTGCTTCTGGTTGTGCCTTTTTACTGATTTCTGAGTTAGGGCTCATCAGACTAGCTGTGCAGCCTGGAATATGCATTACTGAAAGTCACAGACAGGAGATTAAAAAGAACTGAGGAAAAGAATGCTGGTGGAGGGGGAATGCAGAGGGTTTGTGTGTTTTAGAGCTTTTGTAGTCTTTACCATGCCAACATCACCCTTGATTTTGCTGAGCTGGCATGCTCATATTCATTTGAAGAGGAACTGTAAATGTTTGAGGAATAATCTAAAGGTATTTGGATGATCAAGTCTTTCAGAGCTTCCTTCCTTGATAACCTTATTGAGGATGACAGGGGAAAGCCTGGTATTTGCAATTTGTGTGTGCTGGCAGTTGCTGTAGTGTTGCAGAGGGCTCATAAGGGAACCAGGCTGGTTTGACTGAAGAGGAGCACAGCTGTGTCTTCAAGCCTGGAAACAAATGATGTTGTTAGCAGAGCACAGTAACAGTCTTACCTGGAAGTTCATGAGTGTATCTTTGCTGTACTGTAGTTGAACTTGCCCTAGACTGATGTCTTGGGTTTATGTGATGGATGGTGCCAAGGTCTGAATGAAACTTTCTCAGTGTTCCATCTAACTTTAAGGGGAGCAAAGCCATACTGCAAAGCTGGGGTGATGTGTCTGGCCTGACTTTCTTCTCTTGTGTCTTACAGAGACTCTCCGCTATTACATGACCTGTAGTGCTGGGTACCCCAACCCTTTCCAGCAGGTGAGTGAAGCACCCCAACTCCTTCCACCCCTGGGTCTCCTCCCCCTGCAAGGTGCAGGTGAAGTGCTCTTGGTGCAGCATGCAGCCACTCACAGGGTGTTTGCTTTAGGGAGCACTCTGGCTCTTGGTAAAGCCTTGGCAGCTGCTTCCCAGCTGTGCAGGAGGTGGCACTGTGGTTTAGTGAGGAGTTTAACTTCATCACCACCTGCACAAGCCCAGGACACCCCCTAGAAGGGCCTGTGTGTACTGTGGTGAGGACCATGGCTTTGTCTGTTTACAAGGCTCTTGTAAAGAGCAGCAATGTGGAGACACAGTGCCACAATTAATGCCAGGTTGGCAATCTCTGTAATTCCTGCTTTGAATCTCTTCTTGAAGGTTCTTTTGGGTTAAACAGTGGTAACACTCCACTCCCAAAATGCAGCCACTTCTGTGGGTGAAGGAGTGCTTTCCACAGATGCCTCTTACAAATCTTTGAACATCCAAGGGATTTATCCTAAAGTATAAATGTGAGTCATTATTCTTTTGTGTGGAGGCAGAAGAACAGCACCTGGGCCCATTCCAAACTTTGTCGTGTGCATCAGAGGCCAGAATGGGCCCACACCACCCACCTTTTGGCAGACACCAGCTGCTTCACCATTTATATTTAAGATTTTTTTTAAAATCTTGTCTTCCTCTCTTTTAAAGGGTGGGGTAAGAACACTTGGGGCTGTGGTTTGATGCACCTCTGCCATCTGTTGCATTTCTGGTTGCTCTGTGTACTGCCTGACATGCCATTGCATGTGAAATGGTGCTTTAAAAGGATGTGAAGGCTGCATCCTAAAACAAACAACTTCCACTGTTAACATTATGTTTTTTTCATCCATCTGATTTAGTAAAAATCCAGCTGTGTTCTGTGGTGAGAACTTGAGTGCTTTGTGTCTTTTCTTTCTCCTTCCCTTCTGTCCTAGAGCCAGCCCCAGCTGTGTGTACATTTTTTGTGTATGTATTTTGTTCTTTGTGGGTTTGTGTTATTTGTATTTTTTTTTTCCTTTTGGTTCTTCCCTTCTTCTCTCTGTCTGTACTTCTTCCAGTTTGTTAAAGGTCAAACTTAACCCTATTGCAGCTGCACTCATGTCAATTGGGACAGCTTTAACTAGTACAGATGATACTTCAGTATTTGGGAAATAGGATTTCAGTCTTTTCCCAGGAGATCTGTTGGCCCATGTGGCCTGAACTGCTGAAACGTTGCATGTTTTGTGTTGAGCAGAAGCTGTCAGGAAGTCACAAGGCTTTGGTAGAAATGCAGGATGATGTGTTGGAACTGATGAAGTCAGCGAGCAAAGAGCACCCCACCTCCAAGGTAACTCTCCTCAAGTTTGCTCTCCCTGTTCTTTGGGGCTTCCCTCAGCTTTGTGCAGAACCCAGGAGCAGCTCCTGCCAAGCATCCCCTTGCCCTAATCACTGACCTGTTGTTTGCAGGAGTACCTTACTCGGATCCAGGAGGTTCTGAATTCAACAGAGATCAACTTGCAGCAGCTGACAGCTTTAGTGGACTGTCGGAGTCTGCACTTGGTGAGTTCTTGGTAACTGGGCTTCAGCTAAGAAAGAACAAAGGAAGTGTAGAGCCTGTATTAGTTTGGAGTTCCAAACCTCTGGTAAAAGTTTACAACAACTTTTTACTTATTGATTATAGCAGAAAGTGGAATGAGAATTTGGATCAAGTTAGCTTTGAGTTTAAAGATGAACATAGCAAGGTAGATAACATGCCTTCATACATCTACAAGCTGCAGCCAGAGGCCTTCAGGTTTGGGTTTTCTGTGTATGGCAAATAACTTTTTGCCTTTGCTGTGGAGTGCAGTGCCTCAGAGCACTTAGAACAGTGTAGCACAGCCTTGCTGTTGTCCTCACTGCCTCTCTGCAAGCAGAGACACACACAGTTCATACTTCTGTTCTTGGGCATGGGACACTGTGAGGGAGTTGGAAGGCTTAATGAAAAATGTTGTATCTTCAGTTGGGTGGATAAGTTTGCCTTGGCTGGTTTTTTTTTCCTCCTCTTAAAGTCTTTCTGTGGGTGGTTGAAAATATTTCTATGTCTAAATCCAAGCTGGTCTTTGTGAGGGGAAGCAAGGGTTAGATCATTTATGACAAGCACTTGAGTCCCTGAAATTAAAATAGAAATGTGCTCTAGAAAAGGGAGCATGATGTCTCTAAGTTGTTTCAGAGAGTATAGTCTGGAGAAGGGCTTTTGAGTAAGAGCTCCATGTTAACTCTGCAGTGATCAGGAAACTCTGCTCCTTTCTCTCTGCAGGATTACGTCCAGGCTCTGACAGGCTTCTGCTATGATGGAGTGGAAGGCCTCATCTACCTGGTTCTCTTCTCCTTTGTCACAGCCCTCATGTTCAGTTCCATTGTCTGCAGTGTCCCACACACTTGGCAGCAAAAGAGGTACAGAGAAGGTTTAGATCCTGTGGCACTGTAGAGCTCTTTCCCAGTGAAGACTGGCTATTGGATTTGTGCCCATGAGCATATGGAGTTCATTCCCACATGATCCCAGGGGTGTGAGGGATGAGGCTTTATAAGCACAGGTCTAACAGAAAAAAATATGGTTGTGTTTTGCTCTGGCTGTGGTTGATACTAACATCTGAGACTTATTGCACTGGAATACTCTGTGTGCAGAGTATTCAGTGCACTGTAGGGCTGTGAGTCAAGTCCATGAATGATTGTAACTGTAATATAGAGGTAAAGCTTGAACTATTGCTCTCTGTAAAGTCCTTGTTCTCTTACATTTTCTTGAGGCATTTGTTCTACTATTGTTCTACTATTTGTTCTACTATGTTCCCTCTTGCATTCCCTGGAGCAACCATTTGTCCCCCAGCCTCCCTGTGGGAAGTGGAGAGTGTCTTAGTTTATGGCCTGTAAGAGCCTGTGCAGGCTGCAATCCCTCGATCTTCAGTGCCACCGTGTGGTGCAGAAGCTGCAGGTGATGTTTGGGAGGTTCTAGTGATGTCCATGCTGTGTAGAACCTTTCACTAGCTTTAAGCACAGATTAAATATATTTCAGACCATGGTGCTCCACCCCCTAATTAGGGAGATGAAATAGTGTGTATTATGTAGGAGGGGCAAGAGAATACTATGGGAAGGCACAGGGAACCAGCTGGCAAACAGGGAACCAGCTGGCAAACAGTTCTGCTCTCCATTGATTTGAAATCCTGGCATTTTTGAGAAGATAAAACCTTTAGACACAAATTTTGCAGCTTAATCTCTGGAATGACTTCTGTGATTTTGCTAGAAGCTGAAGCAGACCCTTTGCCACCAGAATGGGACTTCAGAGAAGTCTACAGAGGTTTATCCTTTAGAGCTCTTTGGATGTGTCTACAGGAAATGGAAGGACACAGATTGCAGTTTTGAAGGATGTTTCTGTGGGGTGCATGGCACTAGATCCACACTGCCTCTCTTTTTTGTTATTTGTGAGGTTTTCTGGCACTGTACATTTTGGGATGTGTATCCATCCTCTGGCTGTGCAGCTGGGCAGTGCTGCATGCCGAGCCCTGAGCGAAGCCTGCAGGGAGGCTGGAGGGGATCACGCAGTGTGCACCTCCAGATGGGATCTGTGGGAGGTCTGAGTCACTGAGGTGTGGGCTGTGTTTCACACTGCCACCCTGAGGCATCCCAAACGGGTACCAACGTGGAGGATGTGGAAGATGACTGGGAGGTTCCTAGGATTACCATGGTTTCCTGCAAACCCCACGACGTGGGGTCACTGTAGGGTTCTAGGAGGAACTTTTTCTCCTTCTTGCAGAGGCTCAGATGATGATGGGGAAGAAGAATCAGCTGCTCAAGGGAGTAGACAGACACACGATAATCTGTACAGAGTGCACATGCCCAGCCTCTATAGCTGTGGGAGTAGTTATGGCAGTGAGACCAGCATCCCTGCAGCAGCACACACAGTCAGCAATGCTCCCGTCACGGAGTACATGTGAGTATCCCCAAGGAAGCTTCTCCACATGGCTTCCTTCTCACCTCTCTTGGCTCAAGTGCTGCCACGCTGGCACTTCTGTCCAGGTGGTAAAAAGCAGTGAAGGATTTTGTTTTCTGATTGGCATCTAATGGGAGAAGGTAATAGCTTGAAAGTGCTGCACTAGAAAGAGTTTTGTTAGACAGCATGCTCCAAAATGTGAACAGCTTTGTGCTCCAGGACTCAGGAAAATGTCTAAAGAAAAGAAGTAGGAAAGTCTGAGCTTCTTATTACACAGTGATTCTGATCACCAGAAGACTTAGTTCTTCACACAGAGCAGTCTTGCCAGAAGCCTCCCAAAAGACTGAGAGCCAGGAAAAAACATGTGGGCTCTCTCTTTCTACAGTATTTGCAATCACCTCTGACATCTGTTGGAGCTACCTAGTCCAGGTGGGAACTTCAAAGTTCCTAACCCTGATTACATTTGGACTATCATCAGGACCCATCTTTTTTTGGGCTGCCACATCATTTTGTTTATCCCCTTAGACATTGTCCTCATTTTATCTCCATTTCTGCCACTTGGCAGTTCTGATGCTGCAGGGAGGCAGATTTTCACAAGGCCCTATTTTTAAATCACTTGATGTGATTCATTGTGGGCCCTTCTGAGTAAGAATGTAAAAACAGTGCTCAATCTGAGGGAAATTATGATCGTTTTATGCCCTTGTCTGGAAAAGGGGATCCACCTGGCCTGTAAGAAAAGCTTTGAAGGAGACTGAGCTGATACAGTCGTTCTGGGGGTGAGGATGCTCTGTCCTGTGTCCCCATCAGAGACCCTCCCCAGAGAAGCATGGCACGTGCCCCATTACCATGTGTGTCTTCCTTTCCTAGGAGCCAGAATGCAAATTTCCAGAACCCCCGTTGCGAGAATACCCCGCTCATTGGCCGGGAGTCCCCACCTCCCTCAGTAAGTCTCTCTTTTACTGCTCTTCTCTGCTTCAGCAACTTTGGGGAATACACGTTTGCCACTCCTGTGTACTCCCAAGGGAGCTGATTGTGCAGCCAAACACAGGATCTGGCCCATAAATGGCAGCAGCTTGAATAGACAAGCTATGTCTCACCTGCCATAGGGAATAAAACCCTGCTATGCTACTTTGGACATTGCACACAAAAAGACTAAATAAAACTCAGTCAATTAACACTGGTAATCCTATGGGGCCAGTCCTGCCACCACTGAAGTGCATGAGTATCTTGATGGGTGACTTCAGCAGGATGATTCACTTGCATGCAGTGTACTTGCTATCTGTGCCATTGGTTCCTCAAGTTTAAAAGAAACTTGTTCATACTGTAAATTCAGAGTTATTGCTGAACCTCTCTCCTTAATCTGCCCTAAAGAGATGGTAGGATGAAACCTGTATTATATTTTTTGTTGAGATTTTTTTTTTTAAATCTTTCTTTCACAACTGTTTTACTTTCTTTGAAATCTATTTTTGTATTTATTTTCCTATGGAGGAAAAAAAGAAACTTTCATGGAAGGTTTTGGTATCTGGAGTGGCCTGATAGCCACTTCTGTATGCTGGATAAAACATGGGCTTGTCTTCATGTCTGGGTAAGAACTAAACGAATCTTGCCCTCCCTCACTGGATCCTGTAAACCTGATTTACAGCAGAACCTGGAGAACGTGCCATCCCAGTGTTCACTAATTTGGGGGTGTGATTACAGAGGATGAGTAGTAAAATGCCTGATGATCAACCAGTCTTCAGGTGTAGGTAAAGAAAATACACTCTGTGGTGCCTGGCTCAAACTGATGGGAAGGGGAGGAAGAGGAGGTTGGCGGATGAAGGAGTAGAAATTGTGGTGGAAATGAGGGGGTCACATTCATGGTTTCACTTCAAGAGGACCAGTTCATCTTGCTGTAGAGGAAGTGGGATTGTGCAGAGTTGATCCTTGTCTCTGTCCTTGGCCAGATGTCTTCCACCCTTCCCAAAGAGGTGGACGTTCCCCTTCCCCATTTCCTGCCCCGCGCTCTGGTCGCGTTATCCGCAGCGAGATGGGCTCAGCAGAATCCCTGACCTGCTGCACTGCTGCTCCTTCCTGGGGCAGAAGGGCACTGTCCCTCTGGTACTGCCAGGGCACATGTTCCTTCCATGTCCTGCCTCCCCTTGCCCTACAGCTCTTCTGCTTCAGAGAAAGCACATTCCCTTCCACGGGGCTGGAGTGAGGCAAGAAGTTCCCTGGTTTGTGTCAATACTGTGAGTGGGAGTCTGAGTCCTGCTGCCTTACGCTGGGGTTTGGGAGTAGATAAAGGGTTTTTTTCTTCAGAGTAACTTGAGTTGGCAGCCATCAGTGTGGGCTGTGGGGAAGTGCAGGAGCTGGGGAGGATGAGGGAGCAGCACTGCACCCATAGAAAAGGGAGCTTCTCCCCAGATGAGAGAGGGAACCAGGCTATAGGGTAAACGTGTTTCCTGGAGGGATGTAGTAGACAGGCAGTGGAGAGAAGGAAAATGCTTTCTATTCTCATATTGGCAGGCAACAGGGAAAGGCTTTTCTGGGATTTTTGTATTTGCAGCTCTCCGTAGCAGGTGGCTGAGACCATACTGAGGCAGAAGGAATGGTAACTTTTCATAGCAAATTGTCTGTGGGAGGAGAGAGACAAAAACGGAATACCAGTGCACACATCCCTGCCTCTTTTTGGGAGGGAGGAGAGGGAGATAACCATCCAAGTAGGTTATGTCCAGTGGACCCCAGTAGACAGAGCTGACCTGTTCCATTTAGCTTTCTGTGAACAGATGGTGAAAACTGACATGTGATGATCCTGCTGCATTGTTTGTCCGTTACTTTTCCTGGCTTTTTTGTTCGTTTGTTTGTGTTTTTCCTTCTCTCATTCCTTCTGATTTCTCCTTCTTGCCACAGGGATATTCCCTTAGGGTTGTAGAGCCCACCTTGTCGCTGACACACACCACGGTTTCACTTGCTTGCACTGTGTTTTTCATGCACGTTGAGGCTGCACTCTCTTTTTCTCTCTCTTTCTTGCGTCATCACAGTTGTATTTGGCTGCCATGGACAGTAGCAGCCATATGAGCTGGCAGCTTAAGCCCTCGGACAGTGCACGGACATACTGGTAACAGCGCCCGCAAATGGAACAGGTACTGCAAAAAAAGGTCCTTCTTGCTCAACCCTTCTCCACTCCCAACCACTCCCTTCATCCCTGCACTCTTTATCCCAGGCCAGTGCCTTTTATTTCTTCACATTCCTTCCCTCTGCACCTCCCACCCCATTCCCTCCTGCCAAAGGTGAAATTGAAAATCCGTTTTGCCTCTGGTGCAGTCTCAAGGAGCAGGATCGACCTTCTAGAGGCTTCTGGTGCACCTTGTGAGGGTTACAGGTGCCCGTGCCTCACAAAAGCCACCTCACAGCAGCTTCAGCTTGGATTCCACACTTCAGAACAGCTTGAACACCAAGTGCTGAGTGCTGCTCAAATGTAGGAATAACCTTGCACTTCAAAAGCAACATAAAAGTTCTCCCATCACAAGAAGCCATTCTCTAGAAGTAAAGAGAACCAATCTAGCAGCACTTCAGTCAGGAACGGTTGTCTTAATTCAGCTTTTGGCTCTCTTTGAGCCCTGCTGCTGTTCTGCTCGTCCTCAGTAGTCATAACACCCAAAACCATCGATACCTGCCTGCCACAAGCTTTTAGCACATTTGTAGGATTTCTAATTTTAAACTGTCCAGGAGAGTTACTTAATTGCCTGTCAGATCTGTGTGCAGCTTTTCCTTTTATCCTTACATTTAAGGTCAGACAGGAGCAATTTTTTTTTAAAAAAAGCTTCCCTAAGGGTCCGGATATAATCACTAAGATCTGTTTCATTCTGTTTCAAGACCTTTTACTGTTTTGTTTGTTCTCTGTGTGTCCAAATCATCCCACCCGTGTCCTACAGACTCTGTGAGCAGGGCCCTCCTAGTACCATTTCACTGTCTGCATTCCTCATGGGCTGCAGTTGCTCAAGTTCTCGTAGACAGACAATGTTTCCTCCCTTGTGGCAAAGCCACCTGCCCACAGAAAGAGGAGGTGGTCTGCATTCTGGGGGGTTGTTAGCTTGGTTAAATACAGGGTATGGTTAGGGACAGTGCTCCTTCAAGGGAACCACAACCAGTGCCAGGAGGGTGCTGGTTCCAGTGGGAGCAGGGAGCCTGTTGCTTTTGGCTCGTGCAGTCATATCTTGCATTTTCTTCCCAGAAATACATGTCCATAAAGCTGCTGCTGTTCTTTCTTCTCTGCTTCCTCTTGTTGGCACTTCTCTCAGCCTTGCACTGGATTCCTTTCTGTTCTGTTGGTGCTTGGTCTGCATCCCTGCTGCTCCTTGCCTGCCTGCCTGCCTGCCTGGGGACTGCTGGGAGGGGGCTGGATCAGGTGTCTTGATGCCTCTGCCTTGGTGCATGAATGCAAACAACCTTGCCTGAAGCATGGTGCCAGCACCCTTGAAAGGCTCACAGCTTTCTTCAGTCTTAAGTCTTGCTAAGATTGCTCCTGGGCCTCAGCTTGTGGTGGGTTTTCTGCTTTGTTGTTCCTGTAGGTGGTATTGTAGCAATGTTAGATGGATCTGTTCCATGAAGTAAAATATTGGTGAGGGTGGGGAAATTCTAGGAGCTTCATTCTAGACTTGAAATCCCTGGGCTGGAACATGACCTGATCCCAGTCTGCACTGTCTTCTGTTTATCTATGGTCCCACCCGAGCTTAATGTGGCTGTCTGAAGGGCCATGGAAAAGGCACTGCATTCTTTCCAGGGCCTTAAAAACAAACAAAACCAACAGAGGCTCTGTTCTCTTGACTTGAAAGACTTAAGTCCCTTTGAATTAAGAACCCACTGGCTAGAATTAGCTGTTTCCCTGCATCTTGTACCTCCCATACATAATAACACCAAACCCTCTGTGTTTACTGTGCTCTAGCTGTTTGAGATCAACCTTTCAGAACTTGAATCCAGAAGCTTTGGTCTTTATTGCATTACCTGAACAGCTCTGGCAGAAAATCAAAGTCAGGGTAGCTCAAGAGAAATTCACGTGGGTTTTTAACCACAAATAGTAAATGGTTTGTACTCAGTCATGGTTTCATATAGTAAGTGATCTTTCAGCATAGCTTAGTTAGCTTTGAAGTACTCATGGATTTCATAGGAGTCAGTAGAATTTACAGCCTCTAAAACTAACTGATTATTCCTTAAAATGATGGGTTTTTTGCAACCAATGATTCCTTTGTGCCCAGGCTATGTGTGTTAAGTGCCTAACTAGTATGTGCTGGCAAACCACACCTATGAAAGTTTATACCCTCAACAAGGCTGAATGTGAAGGCAGAGACTTTTATTTTCTTTGGAGAAATACAAAAATAACCCTGTGTGCGATCAGCTGTGTTTGTTGGAGCTGGCTGGTAAGTGACTGAGAGGTGCTGTGTTGAACAGCACAGGCAACCAGCAGGAATGGTAACAAGAACTCTTTCAGGTGCCCTTCTTGGGGAAGCTGAGAGTGAGGTGGAGTTATGGGGTGAAACTTGTCCTCTGTGCTGTTTCTGAAAGGGTAAATGAGGGTGTATAGGCACATGGGTACTTCCAGTGAGTGTGCTGGAAGAATGACTGAATTGTGAGTGTTCTTTAACCTTCTATGAAAGCTCCTCTTTAAAGGAAACTAAATGCAACTGTGAACCTGACAGCTGTGGGCCTCAGAGTGGAGTCCAAGCCCTCCTTGGTCTGAATTGTGCTCAGGCTTTCTGTCTTTAGAATCACTTTTTAAAGGAGTTTAAAACATAGTGATTTTTTAAAAAGCAACTGAAGACTTAATTACTTTAACTCTGGATGATATAGTCTGATTTTGTATCCAAAAGTGGTGTCTGCTGATAAATCTTCATCTGCTGGCCTGTCCAGATGTTGGGACCTGTGTGTTCCACAGCATCTTTCCTCTGCTTCCCAGCAGAGGATGCAGAGAAGGAATGAGGAAGGGCTGCAGCATGTGGAGAAAGCACTTGTACCTGGAGGGTTTTGCTGTGGCTGAGACCCAGAGCACGCTGGTAGAGCTGTGCTATGAGAGGTGCACAGTGGAGTGTTGGCTCTCTACTGCCAGGTTTCTGTCATACTTACCATGGTCCTTAAAAACACACATAACAGAAGGAGGAACTGGTTCAGTTGAACTGGGAAGAGGTGCAAAGGTGCAGAAATCCTGAGTTAAGGAGAGAACATCAGCCCTAACTCTGACTACTCTGAGTCTTGATTTGTTCCTTGTGGTGGATTTGCAGGTAGGTTTGAATGTAAAATACCCTCTGCTTGACTCTCCAGATCTTGTGTTCCTGGTTACTTTGTTTTAGTGACACTTAAAAACTGTGGGGTCTTTTCTTTTTGGAGGAAGGAGGGAATTATTTTCAGCTTCTCCCACCATGATAGGTGTACTTTGTCCTCTTGATTTTAATGCTTTAAAGAAAGTTTAAATTGTATGTTGTGTGCTGAACCCGTATGACTAGTCCAGAAAGATGCACAATAACCTTCCATTATTTGAGATTTTTTTTTTTTTATAATATTTCTCACAAAACTTTAGCACCTGGAAAACTTCTCTGTCCATACTCATCTCCTATCACATGTCACTACAGAGAATGCAAATGGAAAATGAGCACTCAAATGCAATTTTCCTTCTAAGGCCCTCTTCTTAGCATGAGGCTTGGCTGGTAATTTCAGCATTGCACTACCTGAAATGTGCCCTACTTACTCTATGAGAAAGTTCTTTGACTTCTAAACCTCTCTGAGGCTCTTGGGTTATTCTCCTATGTATTAATAACACCCTAAACTTTATTTCTGAAACAGTAATCACATTTAATAAACTGTATAGATTATTGTCCTTAAAGTAGCTCAGCTTGCTATGTTCTATCTTCTGCCCTCTCACTGACAAAAAATACATCTTAGAAAGAACAGATGTACTCTTTGTCTTCTAAATATAGATGCCATTTCTGGGCCAGAGTTTTATATTAAGATCCATGTTCTGAAAAAAGTTTTCCAGTTATGGAAGACACTAAATGCTGAGTGTGCAAGTAAGCCACAGGTGTCTTCATCTTGTGCTGCTGGGATCAGCTCTGCCAGAGGAGCAGTTTCTCTCTTCTATTGCGCAGGGGTTCGACCCAGGTCAGTCTTTGAAGGAAAACTGATAAAATACTGTTAATTCTCTAAAAACCCCATGGACAGCTGAGCTTTTGAGAATCTAAAGATGCCTCGTAATGTTCTTTCCCAGTGGGCAAGATAAATCATACCTCCTGGTGTGGAACTGCCTTTCAGTTGTCTCTGCCAGCTTAACTGGCTATTTTACATGGTGTGGTTTAAGAGGTGATAAAAAGTCAGTATGCTAAAGAGCACTCTTGGGAAGTAAGCTGTGGATATTATAGAATTATTCAGGCTCCAGAGGGTATAGAAAGAGGAATGAAATGTCTGTCCTCATTGCTTGGTTGTTAATACTGGGGTAGCAGAGCCCAGAAGACATCGAGCACATTGGTATAAAGAGGCAAAGTCCTGTTCTTACTGCTGGATGTTGTTCACATGGTTTTCAGCTCATTATTCAAAGCTGAATGACACATGTTACCTCAGTAGCTTCTGGGAGCTGTTTTGGATTACCTTGCTTAGAATAAAAAAGAGAATAAGAGCATCACCACCACCTCCAAATCAAACTAACCTTCATCTTCCTGACTTGCTTTTCTCACCCCCACACGGGAGTCTCTTCTGCTGCTGCACAGTGCACAGCTTGGATCCCAAACCACAGTGGGCTGTCACCCACCTGATAACTTGCTAATATCATCCTGTTTGATGGCAGCCTGTTTCCAGCCTGATAGGGTCTGTTCTTTCTTGGGCATAAATTGTTTAGTTATTCCTCACTTTTCTTTCAAGCTGCCCATCCATGGCATGCGCAGTCTTCTGATGCCCTCATTGCTATAAAATGCAATGTGAAGATGTGGTGAGCACCCATTTTCTTTTCAGCCTCCTTTTCTGGCATGGTTGAAAGCAGTAACATCACTAAGAGAGGATGAAAGCGTGGGGTAGGTTTTTACATCTGCATCATTCCCATTTCTCTCTCTTCTCCCAAGCAACATATGTCATGTTTTGACTTAGTGGCTGTTGGATTTCCTTCTCTAGGCAGCTTGGATAAATCACCACATCTGCACTGACCAGGCCAGCACCCCTGCAGCAGACTGGCAGAATGTTACTCAGAGTGAACCATGCAGTGACTTGTTAAACTTTCTTCTTAAGGCTGAGTCAGCAGCTCCTTGAGATGCTTGCTGTAAATATACACCATATTATGCTGAGAAGTGGTAGAAATCTGTGGTTCCATCGTGACATTAGTAATTCTGACTTAACTTTCTGTTTGTTTGTTTTGTTTTTTTGTCTTGTCTTTTCTTTCTCCAGTACACCTCCAGCATGAGAGCCAAATACCTCGCCACCAACCAACCTCGTCCAGATGCTGGCAGTGTGCATTAAAATGAAAAAGCAAAAGCAAAAAGCAAAAAAACCCCACACAAACAAAAAACAAAACCCACACATGCAGTCAGACTAAACAATGTGCCAACTGCTGTGCCCCTGTGCTGTCCTTGTGGAACAATCCTGCTGTTCTGCCCAAAATCTAGTGCAGCTCCTTCTGTTTCTCCAGTCCAGACCACCCTTCCAACCTGGTACCTGGCCACTGAGTGGAAGCTCCTTTTGAATTTAAGCCTTCACCTTGTAGTACAAGAGAGCAAATGTGTGCTGGCCAACAGCACCTGGGCAGGAACCTGAGTCCCCCAGCCCGTGGGCCAGCTCAGCAGAGCAGCCTGGCAGAAACAGGTGGTGAATATCTTCTGCCCCCTTCTCCCCCCTTCTGTTCCAAGAGGGACTTGGTGAAAGATGGTGGTAGATCTTCTTCACTTCTGCAGTGGGACCAGCAGCCTGTCAGACACCGAAGAAGCAGGACTGGGTGCCTGTGGCTGCTGTGCAACAAGGGAATGCTGAGGGGATGCACAGAGCAGCATCTCGGTGGGGATCCTCTGGTGCACTGCCCTGGGTGAGGGAGGAGGGAACTCCTGCCTCGTGGTGTCACTGCACATCCACTGGAATTTGCTCTAGTAGAGCCAACCATTTCACTACCCTGGTTAACCTTTTTTTCTTTTTAAGTCCATGGAGAAAATGCCTTTTTCTTTCCCTCTGTATCTATCACGTGAATTCTTGAGGAGGAGCAGGGGGGCCCAGCACCAGTCAGTGACCCTGTCCACTGCTCTGGACCTGAGCTCTCTGCTCCATCAGGGAAGCCCAGGTATTTGCAGATGGCATTCTGGGTGCTGCCTTTCCTAGGCTGACACAGATCAAACAAGAGCCAGCCACTCACTTGGTGCCAAATTTTTCCAGGGAAAGACTTTTAAGACTTTATGGGAGGTATTTTTGCACTAAAGAGTTTTGGCTCTCTGATGCTAGATCTTATGGGACAGTCAGCTTGCAAAAGCAAGAGAAACTGGAAGCACTAATGGATTTATAGCAAATGCAAGCTCTCCCCGTGGGGATGACCTGTGAACTCCGCTGGACTTTCTTTTTTTTCCTTTTTTATAAACCATAACCTACAGCACAGGGTTGCTGAAATGGCATTGAAGGAGGTTTTTGGAGCCTCATTCAAACAAACTCACAAGATTGTCAGTGTATCTTCTGTGTTTAGAGTCTGAAACCCTCGACAACATTGTGACCGTCAGAACAGATTTATGTTTTATTCTATTTTCTTTAGTTTTCAAAGGCACATTGCTAACCACTATCTGACCATACTAATGCACATGTAAGGCATTTTCTAGACATGAGGCAGAACAAGGCTTGCAAAGGGGCAGCTGGGTGCCTGCAGAGGGCAACATCCTTCACTGGTGCTGTACTTCCCACTGAAGAGCAGTGCTCCAAAGGGCACTGACAGCTTCCTGCTGGAAGAGGAGACTGCCTCTGGGGAGGTACTGTCAACTACTGCCCTTTCAGTAGGGTAACTATAATGTTCCTTTTTGTCTTTTTACCTCTTAGTAGGGGCATCTTAGCAGAGCTGCTGAGCATTATATTAAACAGCTGGCAGAGGAAATTGAGTGGGACACATCTCTCAAACTGGAGTGGAGCTGTTGGCAGAGGCATTGTCACCTCAGTGATGTTCAGACTTGGTGTTTGTTTACCCCACGTTTGCAGTTTGCGGCACAGAATTACCAACCTGCCTTTACTCAAGTTGGTTGCCTACTTGCAGTGAGGTGGGAACTGCTCCTGGCAGGCAGCTAAACAGGCTGGAGGGATCTGCTGGGAAATGGTACCAGCCCTGTGGCACAGCAAGCTTTGAGACTCCTCTTAAGACAGAAACCACTACCAAACTGCAAGGCCAGCTGTTACCATTCAAAGGAGTGTGAGACAGGGAGGAGGCATCACCATGCAGACAGGAAGAGAAGGGTTTGGAATAAACTTCATGCTTCACCATAAATCTCTGGAAGCAGGATGTTCTTGCTCAGGACTGAGTATGCCCTTTCAAACACATTGGATGGGCTTCACACTGAAACATTACCTCTGTTTTATCAAATAACAAAGGCAGGGAAACTTGGTCACAGGTGGTATGGAGGGACACTGTGGCTCACCAGCCCCAGGTTTCCATCCTGTCTTAGAGCCTACCAGGAGATGTGGGTGTGCAGGGTGTGGTGAGGTGATCTTGCAGGGCCCCAAGCCCCCAACTGTTCTCCGGGGGGAACCCCAACCTTTCCCTCACTTTGAAGAAAGAATCAAGAGCCATATAAACCTTATTAAGACTGAGTTGTTCTGCCATCATCCCTCCTTGCAAGGATGTGCTCCGATTGCTACTCATATTATCAATTCTAGGGGAGCTGCCCTGAAATCTGTGGCCCAGTCCTACTGGTGGAAGGCCAGTGTTTTGGAGGCTGGAGGGTGTGGGGAGCCCTGTGAAAATAAGTGCTTCTGTGTACCAACTTCTTTGTGCACAGAATGCACCCTGAACCCACGTGTGACTGCACTTTGGGCTGGGTCTAAATTGTCACCGTGGCATTGTCTGTGCCACACAGAAACAGGAGTGAGCCTTTGTTTGCAGCATCTAACAGAGCAGCCACCTTGACCTACTTCCTTCCAAGGTCTGGCATAGCCACTTCCAACACCCAGAACAACTTCTGACAGTGTTTGGGGCTCGCAGCAAGGCACAGCTGTGGAGATACGTACTCTGTGACTTCAACATATAACTGGAAAGAATGTTATGGAGATAACATTTTGCTCTCTGGAGGCCAGCACAACGTGACTGCAGTGTGAGCAGTGTACCTGTGTCCAGCCAGCACTTCCTTTACTTGACATGGATATTGCACTTTTGTAAAGCATCCTGGAACTCTGCTGCCCCGCTGCATGCTGTGCAGAGCGCTGGATAGGAAACACAGACAAATGGGTTTCTTTTGGTTTATTATTATTATTACTACTACTTTTTGGGGTTCTTTTCCTTTTTTTTTTTTTTTTTTTTTTTTTTGGGGTTTTTTTTTTTTTTTTTTTTTTTTTTTGTTTTACTGGAACCTTGAGCAACAGTGTGGCATTTCTGCAGGCTGGTCTGAATGGATCTGCTGAAGAACAGATGGCCTTTGCCTATTCTTATGGCTGCGACATAATCAGTCTCATCCATATGGTCACATTTAGTCTGAGGAGGGGACTTTGAAAAGCCAAGATCTCCCAGACTCTGTGCCTCCCTCTCGGGTGAACAGCAGGTGCTATCTGGCGAAGACTCATCTGTTCTGGATGGCATTCATGGTTGAGGGAGTCCAAACTCTTCAAGCTGCAGGAGGTAAAGCTGTAGAGACTTCTCTCTCTTCCATCGTGTCTCTCTGTTTTTAATGTGACAAAACGCCGAGGCCATATCACTTGGTGTGTCCCAGCTGACCTTATCGGACATTTCTCATGTTGCTGGTTGCTAGAAAAAGGGTCCAGAAGTTGGAGGAGCTGAGATTGGCCTCTGGACACCTCGCTGACTGCAGAGTGGATGGCAGCTTGTCCGGTTGAAGGTGACTGCATCGGTGAAGACACTTCATGTTACTTTTTCAGAAGCACAAATGTGGTCATTGGCTTGTCTGGTTGGCTTGGTTTATTTCCACTGCATCATCATGTGTGAATGACACTTTCTTTTGGAACTGAGAACTCTTCCAAGCACACAAACATCTCCACAATGTGAAATGTAAATAGCATGTTGGACTCTTGTGTCCAGTGTTCAAGACTGCATTGTAATTGTAAAGGAAATCAAATCAAGACTTGGCTGTGAATTTCTTGTGCTGTCTTGGGAATTATAACTGTAGTGTTTGTATCCTGTATGTATTATTAAACTGAGTTCATTTTGTGTGCTGATAAAAGGGTTCAAGCTAAGATTTTTAGCGTGCATCCATGTATCCAAATGTGAAGGATGGAGTGCTCCCTTCCCCTCCTGTCCTTTTTAAGTTTTCTCCATTTGATAGGTGTTGATTTTCCGTGTACAGTCATCTCAGCCAAGATGCAAGGGATGTTCATTTGAGTGCTTTGAGGGGGACACAGTGCATGGGGTTTTAAGTGATCCTAAGTCAGGATTTCCATAGCAGTTCCCTGAAACCACATGAAAAGTTTGGCCTTTCTGAGAGTGAAACCATTTCTCAGGGAGCTGCTCAGCCATTGCTCACGAGAGCTTTGGGTGCTGCAGGGTGGTGGGAGACAGGAGTGGGTGGGTGCCCCAGAGCAAGGTGCAGGTCCTGTGGGATGTCCCCTTCTTTCCCTCCGAGCAGCCACTGAAATACCATTCTGAGCCCTTTGAAGAAGAGAGAAGTGTCTTGGCTTGTCGATCCCTGCCACCCCCCAGTTCCAGAGGAGATGAGGTGGGTGGGTTTCCCCTGAGCTGTCTTTGAAGCATTTCCTGCCTGGGCTCCAAGGAGCAGCCAGGGTCTTCCCCAGCTCAGCAGGTGTCTGTGCCACTCGGTGAGCACCTCTGGGTGGGAGGAGAAAAGCCCTCCAGCGAGGTCCTGAGGAGCAGATCTCAAGCCTTGACACAGACCTGACAAGGCTTGGTCTGTACCTCCTTCCATCAGAGCCTACCTCCCTTTTCCAGAAATTGTGTGCATGCTATGGATGGCTTCCCTGGGCTGCCCAGGAGGCCCAGCAGAAGCATGGGATGTTTTGGTAGCAGTTCCTAGGTGGCTGACAAGTGCTTTGTGCTTTTGGCGGGGGTGGGATTTCTGCCAAGCCATGATGGTGAGCGTGCTTGCCCAGCTGGGACACAAGGGATGGGTTACTGGTGGCCTGGAGCTCCCAGATGCACACCCAGCCCCTGTGGCTGCATGAACAAAGTGGAACATAAATTGATGTACAACCAGAAAGTTCAAAATACTCCATTCCTAAAGAGGATAACTGTAGCATGAAGCTCTTAGGTGCTCTGCGTATTTGATACCACATTGCTCCTCACTATGCAATTCCCAACTCCTTCCTTCCTGTTCCTCTTCTAATCTCACACCAAGACTTCTCCAGTGGCCTCTGCCCAGGAGGCTGCTGAAGTCCCAGAAAAGCCTCATTTCTTCCATTGTCCTCTGCACTGGGTGCAGCCCAGCCGTCACGTCGCGTGCCTCAGGTCCCTTGGTAACGGGAGGCCCCATGAGTTTTATTCACATCATTCAGAGGGAAGTTTATTTTCTTGGACACTGTGCACAGAAACCTAATGGTGAACATGTACCTGGCCTTTTTGTAACTTCTCTGTTTTGTTTTTTTTTTTCTTCTTCTTAACCATAATGGTTGTATATCATACCACTTTATATACATATATAATATATAAATATATATAATTTTTTTTTAAACTTCGGACCTGCTAGTTTCTTTCAAGTGTTCCTGCACTTACCCAAAATGTTTTTAAATTGTGAAGATTAAAGAGGATTGAGCCCATTTTTGTATCTTTACTTTTAATTCTGTAGTTCTCTTGATTGTAACGTAGCTATTTTTTACTGTAACTTTTTGGTTTGCAAATACTAAACAAAAAAACCTAAATGTAATATCTGTGGTTTCTATTCAGCTTGGGTTTCATGTTTTAAAAATAAACAATTTAAAACCACTGTTCCTGGTTATTGATCTGTGTTTTCTCCCAGTGGGGCTGGGCTGGTGGCTGCTGTGGGGACGTCCTTGTACCTGGGGGCAGGAGGTGCTGGAGCAACCATGGGACACATCAGCCTGGGAGATGTTCTCCTGTGCCCAGTGTGTTTTAACCCCTTGAAGCCCCTCTGCTGCTTTGATTATTCCCCACTGGAGCAGCAGGAAACACGAATGGTTCATTTCAAGTACAAATACAAGAAGTGTGGAAAAGTGGCCTGGGATGGTGCCCCAGCAGCTCAGCCCTGTCAGAGGCTTCTCTTTGGGGGAAGATGAAACTCTGCATGGGCTCACCCTGCTCAGTGCTGCCCCAGGGTATCCTGGGTTTCTTTTTAGTTCTGTTTGTGCAGTTCTCTGATCACAGGCCCACCCCCACACCACTATCACTTAGTAAACTGAAACCTTTACCTTCCTCTAATTTTCCTGGTCTGTTTTCTGCCTGATCCTGCCAGTCAAAGGAGGCGTTGGGTCCTGCCCTCATCCTGTGCTATTCTTGCCCTGACCTCAGTCCCTCCCTTCCTAGGTGTGGGGATAAGCAATAATTCAACCCTGTCTTTGTAAATATTATGTTTGGGTTTTTTTTATAAATGCTGTGAATATGGCTGAAACCCATACCAGTGCTCTCAAGTCCTGCTCACGAGTCTAGTTCAGAACCACAGAGGGCTCCTGGTTGTGACTTACCCCTCATGGTTGTGAATCCCAACAGACACCAGTTTTCCCCCTTCACTAATAATTGACAGATGTGTCTCCCCTCTTTTTTTTTTTTTTTTCATTCCCATCTAAAGAAGGAACCCACATTTTCCATCTTCATCCCTGACCTGAGGTGATTAAGTCTGCTCTGTAAAGCTCTAAAAGGGCTTCAAGCAGTCAAGGGAATCTCATGGCATGAAGGAGAAGAAAGCCTAGATCAGAGTCATCAGTGTAAATATTTAACCAGGTTTATGGACTCCAGCAGGGATGGGAACATGCAAAGGCCACCTTCCTGGTGACCTCTCCCAGTGTTCTCCAGCCACCCCCAGGAGCTGCAGCTCCACTCACCCTCTGCACTGCTGAGCCATTCAGGGCTTGGAGAAAACAGAGGGAAGGGTGAAGTATGTGTTTGAATAAACCTCACCCTCAGATCAGCCTTCAGTAGTGGTCCCTTAGATCTCAGTCCTGGGAGATAAGGCAGGGAGGGGTGCCCCGGGGAGATGCTTTGCTCTGTGGCGTGCTGAGCTGTGCTAACACGAGCGGTGCCTCCGGCAGCTCCCGTGGGTTGGTGGATGGAAAACCATCAGGCAGAGCTGGTGGCTGGGGGACACGGTTACCGACTGCGTGTCCCCATCTGCTGTCCCCTCCTGGGGTGGGAGATGGCCCGAACTGCCGGTCGTGATTTCTGCTGGGCGTGGCACTGTGCGGGCACTGCTGATGCTGCAGCCTGGTCCGCCCAGCTCCCTCCATCGGGTGGATTTAAGAGCTGGATTTGTGATTCTTCGGGAGTTTCGCGCTCTCCACGAGTCCAGGAAGGCATCAGGCAGCCGAAAATGCAGCGCATCTTTAACCCCTCCCGGAGCACCCTCGCTCCTGAGGAATGTCCCCATCTCCCCACCCCACTCCGTGGTGCTTTCAGGAGGTCGTGTCCTGTCCTTGCACTGCGAGGGAAGCCAGGACAGAGCTGAGTATCCGCTGGAAAAAATCCCCGAGCAGGGCGACTGCGAGCGGTCTGACCGCGTGGGGATGCTGGAGCCCTGCGCTTGGTTTCAGGAGGGTTTGTGAGCCGAGGCAGCCCCGGGAATGCTCCATCCAGGGCTCCCCCAAGCCCGTGTCTCCAGCTCGGTTTGTCCCAGCCCTCCAGTGTCTCCCAGTTCATCTGGGAGTGCCCAGGCAGGGACAGAGGGTGGCCTGGCTGTGGCCATGATGATGGAGCAGCCGGTCACACTGCTGTGCCTTCGAGAGGGGATGGATGGATGGCGGCAGGAGCAGAGGACTTTTCCTTCTGCAGCTGGGGTCTCCATTGCTGCCTGGCTCTGCCTGGAGCAGGAGGTGTTTCTCACCACGACCTCAGCAAAAATCCCTGCTCAGGGATTTTTTAATCCCTCCCAGTCCGTGGAGGGCAGTGGAGGAAGCACAGCTCCCTGCTCACTGCGAGGTGTTGCAGATGCTGGTGCTTCTCCCACCCGCTTCCTCTTCCCACCAGGCAAACCTCCCGGAACCTGGTGCTTGCACCCCGTAAATCACCCAGCCACTCCTGATCTCTTCCAAACACATCAGCTCTGGAGCCTGTGCCTGGGTTACCCATCAGGAACCAGAATGGCCCCGCTGCCCAAGGGCTTCCCAACTCAACAGCCACCCTAAATAAAGGAAGCTCAGCAGGCTGATGAGGACACGGCCAGAGCATCACCCAGTGCTGACACGGTGGTGACACTGCTGCAGTGTCACTGCTGCTTCGGGTCCCTGTCCTCAGTGTGGACAAGCACAAACCCAGCACTGTTTCCCTGGTGAAAGCACCGTGGTTTGGTGGGGGCTGAAGGGGGACACATCCACTGAGGAGGAGGAAGGAGGGGCTGGGAGCGGGGCTGTTCGGTGATGCTGCAGCTTTGGGGATCCCATCTGGCAGCACCGTGGGAAGTGTTTCCAGATGCTTTTGAGATGCTCAATTTATCTCCTCCTCCACTCTTGGCTTGCCAAATGGCTACAGCAGCAGAACTGGCCCCACTGGGCAGCTGAGGCAGAGCAGAAACAGCAGTTGCTGGGAGTTTTGGGGCAAGGGGGATTGGTTTTGATAGATTCAAGGCTGGTCTTAAAAGTCAGGAAGGAAAAAATAAACTTTGTAGGGCTTTTGGGTTATTTATTTTAACCACCTGCATATTATGCAGGGGTGGGAAATAGTAGAAGGGTGAAAAAAATAAGGGGGCAGTGGTTGAGAGCTACTCTGCACATCCCCATGCTGAGTCTTGGCCATCCCACAGCCATCACTCTGCTGCAGGGCTTTGCAGCCCCTCGCCCCAAGGCAGACAGTGCTGGTGGTGGATTAAATCATCTCCAGCTGCACAGAGGTGGTGGGATGTAGACCATGCCCCCACAGGGGTCTCAGCACTCTCCCACCCAGCACTGGGACAGGCAACTCCCAAAGCTGCAGCTGCATGCATCGCTCAGGCCCTGCGATTCGGATGCTTTTATGTTCGTTTCCCACAAATATTCCAGTTTGCTGGGCCAAAGCAGCTGGAAGTGGCTCTTGGAGCCAATTCACACAAGTTTTGTTGTCTCCTAACACTGCCCTCCCACCCCAAGTCTCAAGTACTTCTCACTGCTCTCAGTACCAGGATGGGTGTTTGTCCCATCGCCGTGCACACGGTCCCTGGTGAAAGTCCCCACAGCCAGGCTGGGAACACAGTGACTCACACGAAATCTGGGACTGCAAGTGACCCAAATGCAAATTAAACAAAAAAAAAAAAAGGAGGTTGGAAACAGCAAAAAGGACAAAACCAATGTGTTACTCTCTGCCCTCAATGTTGCAACCACCCAGAAATGAGGAAAGTCTTCAGCCAGGCACGGTGCTGGAGCATCCCTTGGGCACAGCAGCAGTTCCTCCATAGTGACAGTGTCCCCGACAAGCCTGGCTTGTCCCCACCCCATCACCACACACCAGACTCTCCAAAAGGTACAGCTGCCTTATCAGCTGCCTCGAGCAGGCGAGAGTAAACAGGACATCCCACACCAGCGCCGGGGTGCAGATGAAAGCAGCCTGGCCTGCGGAGTCTGCCAAGTATGCGAGAGCAGCAGGCTTTGCTTTTGTTTTCCTTTTGTTTATTAATGCCTGTATTTATTTACTTTTCAGCCCACGAGTAGGGAAAGGAGGAGGGAGAGGCTGGGAGCCTGGTGGGAGACAAACTGGAAGGCTGGTGAGCTGCCTTCCCCCACTCCTGAAGGCTCGGTGGAGTATATTTCATTTTACTTTATTATTTTATTTTATGTGTACCTTTCTTTTTTATTTGTGTTTATTTTACTTTTTAAGCCCCATCAAGGAGTTGCACCATGCCCAGCCTCCCCCCAGCCTTTACCCCTGCTGGGGCTCCTGTTCCTTGCAGCAGCATCCCAATCCACAGCCCCTGGTGGCCCAGCACCTCGATGGGCACTTAACCCACATCTCCCCATCCTGTCTGGGGTGCAGGGGAGGGTCAGGCTCAGCAAGGGTGACAGCACCACTGCTGGGAAGTGCCCACGCTGCCAAAACCGCAGCCCATGAGCAATAGGAAAACTCGTGGGGGAGCAGATGGGGCTCGGTGTCACAGCTTCCTGTGCCTGACACAGGTCCCTTAGCTGACCCTGCACCAGGGGAGGCCTGAGGGGCACCGGATCCTGCATCCAGCACACCATCCCTGGCCCCAGGCAGCTGGGGGAAGGCAGCACTGCTGTCCATCCACCCTTCCCTTCCTCCAGGGCAGATTTTGGGGTGGCGGGGTCAGGGCAATGCTGGTTCTCTGAGGTGACACACTCTCAGACAGAGCCCCACATCACCAAGGGCTGCTTGGGGAACTTCTGATTTTTGTGGCCGTCTGAAGGGTGAGTGGGTTGGGAGGAGGGGTGGCTGCTTCAGCACACACCGATTTCCTGCCGGGCTGTATTTTTAGCAGGGCCAACCCTTGATAACCCAGAGATTCAAGTGAAACTGTGAAGTAAGTGTGCCTCGAAAAGGGAAAAAAAAAAAAAAAAAGGGTGCTGGCTGTGCAGGAAGGCGAGGAGGAGGGGATGGCACAGGTGGAAGCTGGTACCAGTGGCACAAACAGGACTGGTTTGGGGAGTGGAGGGACAGAACTTAGGCTATCTCCACAGCCCATGAAAGCTGGGGCTTGTTTCTGGCAGGTGGATGCTGAGTGTTGGCTGAAACTGTGGTGGAGAGGGTGAGGGGAGGGCTGGGAGGGAAGGGACTCCTCCTCCCCCGCAGCCCCCAACCTTCCCACGCACACGCCTGCCCGCCGGCTGTTAA